GAAGAGGGACTCACCGATCATGCATTTGGATGTCATGGCATGTCAAAAGGCTACTGAAGTTTCTAAATACGTTCTTGGAATTCTCTTAATTATTGTGAACTGACTGCAAATCTTCCATGGACTGGCAGACCATGCTTTGAATGTCACTGTTGGAAAATAGACTTCATCTTTGCAACTGTCCTCTGAGAAAAATACTATCCCATCCCAATTTTACAGGGAGAAACAAACAAAACAACAACACAACAACAAATGACGCTCAGTGTGCTTTTTTATTGCAACAGCCCAGTGGGCAGGAAGTAGAACTTGGATTCAAATCCAGGCAGACAATGCACAGAGGAGCTGGTGTTTGGACCCAGAAAGGCTGAATTGGGAGCTTGTTCTTCTCTTCTCTGCACTTGTTTGATTTTGATGATGTCAAGTAGGAACGGTTCAGCTTGGGCCATTGGATGATGACCACCTCATACATACCTTTTATAGTTCACAGACCTCCCTGCATCCACACCTCTCTTGCTCACATCTTGGTGGAAGAGGGGAGCGCCTTTCAGTCCAAGGTCAATACCTTTACCCCTGCATTCCATCCTGTCTTCCCTTGAATGCGCTTGTTCCACCAACCATCCCAATCAAAGCGTGTGGAAGGGCAGGAGCTTGTTCTACTTACAAATGAAGAGCTGAGGCTCACAAATAGAAACTTACCACACATGCAACTAAGGTTTCACAGACACAGGTTGACTATATGTTAGGGACAGTCCCTGCTTACTCCAGTCTCTTGGCTAGAGTATGTCGCACTTCCCTTTCAATCTCAAAAGTTTCCCACATTGGACAGTAAATTCTCTGGTCACCCTAATTTGCTAGTGAGTGTAGAGACAGAACTGGTACCCTGACTGGCCCCAATCCCAGGGATCTCTGTGTTACCCTAGGTTACCCCTTAAAATTCAAAGAACTGGAAAGTTTATTTTCCAGCATTATTCATTCAGTTAACATTTATTGGTACCACGTGTCAGACACTGTGCTGGAAGATATGAACTAAAAAATGAATGGGGTGGTTCCAATCCTCAGAAGCTCATTTAGTGAGGAAACAGAGCCACAAATTATTACATTCAGGACATATCACTTAATATACAAGAATTCAAAATGAAAATGCAAGGCTCTTTGTTTAAAATTAAGAATTTCCAGATGGTAACACGGCATTCAGCCAGGTGTTGCGTGCCCCAAGCTGGGGCCCTGTCTGCGTCTGCGTTTCACTGAGGGGGTTCTTGGGATTATGGGAGATACCAGCCTGAAGACTGATCCTGGATGGCTTCCGGGAAGAAATGAACTGTGTTGACCTTAGGGGCTAAATACAGTGAGGGTGCTTCTTCAGGAGATCACCTCTGGTATTTCAGACCACAGGTTACTGAGGACAATCAATCATTCTGACTTCAATGCCAAGTGGCGAGAATCTTCTGCCACTGTGCCCGTCAGTGACCTACTGCAGCGACTGCGACACGTCTTGTGGTAGACCTAGAGATGTGCCACCCACATTCCCTTTCAGGACTTGTTGGGGCTGCTGTGGGAAACCTGTCAGCCCTTTCGGGGACAGCCTGAGTCCAGTGCCCGCCTGAGGTGGCGGTGGGAAGGCCTGGCCAATGCATATGGTAGGTCAACCTCTGTGCCACTTTTGCTCCCTGCTTCTCATAGATGGGCTGAGGTGATCTGGGTAACATCCCAGCTCTATTTCTCCCTCTGCCCAATCCTGCTTCTTCCTTCAGTCTATAAATGTTGATCCCAAGGGCACCCTGGGACCCGCCCCCTCATACACATCCTGAACACCAAACTCCATTGCAGAATCTGTATCATGGAGAATCAAAGTACTACATGGACCAAAAGAGCTTCAGTAAGTATTCAGGATTTTTGAGAATGACTGGTTATTTGCATACTTACAGCCTTTTCTTCTAAATCCCCAAATATAAAATAGTGTAAACAAGGACTCTGTGTACGAATGTGGTTACCCTCTGAGTTAAAAACCTCAACTCAGTAAAGACCAGCATGCCCATATTTTGTGGAAATTAATCCATGAACTTACTGTAATTCTTGAAAAAAGCTATTTCTATTTGCAGTTGGCATCTGAGAAAGGACAGTACTCATAACTGCTATTTATGGAGTAAGGTGCAATTTCCTTTTTGACACACTTGAATGTTTTAGATCATTTGGTTACTAATCCAGGTTGACTACACACAGGGCTCTTGGGATGGGCTTTAATTGTTGATATTTCTTAGTTTTCCTCATTCCAGGTGGAAGATTTCTTTCCTTTTAGTAAAACACAAGTTCATTCATTACTAGTGTGACTCATACTAGTGGAAGTACAAATTAAGTTTTTTGCGATGTGGCATGCAGAATGGCAGTTTTCTAGATAAATGTTAATCTTAAAGACATTCTCAAACAGAATTGGTTGTGAAACTGACTTACACATATACTGACTTCATATACTAAATGTAACATACTTCAAGGTATAAAATTCTGGACATAATTAGTCTCAGATTTGAAACAAATACTTGGATTTGAGAAGGAGGGCTCTTAATATTCCTAAATCAAATTTTAATAAAAACGTGGGCTATCCTTGGTTTATATAGGGACAAGTTAATCAGTTGGTAAGTTAGTAAACTGCCAGACTTAGCATGATTTAGCATGACAGATGTACTGAGATTTAGCATAACACTGACTTTTATGTACATATACTCATCTTACTAACGCAAAGTAGAAGACAGGAGGTGGGAACTTTTGGAGGTGGGGATACATTTAGGGCATAGACAGTGGTCATGGTTTTGGGGATGTGCATATAATTATCTCTAAATTCATCAAGTTGTCCACATTAAATAGAACCCACAAAAAAGTATATACACTTCAGGAAAAGAAAAACAGTATGATTTTTTTTCAACAGACAGTATTACCCTCAAATAGGGACCCTAGAAGACGTCATATATCACAGAAAACCTACTACACTGCCAGTCCTTAGAGAAGAAATTGGAAATGAATGTGCAGCCATCTCAATGACCAAGGTTACCCAAGCAGAAGTTCACCGTACTAATAAATGTCTAGAAGCTAATGGCCGCCACTTTGAGCACCTCCTGTAATTGTAAGGGCAAAGGTAATTTGTATTAAGCTCCTGATGTCTCAATACATTCAGTATTAAACTATTTATACAAATTTTTCTTTTTCTGAAGTGTATACATTTTTTTGCCAGACTCTGTATATATAACTTTTGTATGTCAATTATACTTCAACAAAGTTTTAAAATCCTTCCCACACACTCTCCAGTACTTCCCACACATTCCAGTACTTACCTTGAAATTTGAGAGAAAGTGAGATTTATTTTATTATTTGGTTAGAAGAAAATACAATGTTGGTTTCTCATGCAGCAAGAGGTTCAAATGCTTCATTTGCTATGGGCCACAAGACAACCTGGAAACAGTATGTTAAGAACTCTATAGAAGTAGTTTTCCAGATGCAAAGCATTCACTTTGAGAAAAACTGAGTCAATGAATTTGAGATTCTAAAGAAAAATAATATCATAAACATTTTTCAGTCAACTGTCAAGTATGGTACATGTGAAAAGCTTAATGAATATTGATCTAACCATCCAGACCAAACGAAAACACCGGGAAATTTTTTTGTAGTACTAGAGGATTGAACACAGGACATTTGCATTAAGCTGCATCTCCAGCCCTTTTTATTTTGAGACAAGGTCCAAGTAGCTAAATTGCTCAAGTGGGACTAGAACTTGCATCCTGCTTTAGTCTCTGAGTACCCAGGAACATCTTAAGCACCTTAGAAGGTACCCTTCTACTTCTCCCAGTTACCAACACCTTCCATCTCCCAAAGTTAAAAGTACTGTTCTGCCTTTAGTTATAACTGTTTTTGAACTTTGTATAGATGGAATCACAAACATTTTTGGGATCAGAATTCTTGGAACAATGTTTGTGACATTCACCTGTGATGCTTTCCTTGCTGTATTCTACTACATCATTTTCCTTTGGCTGTCGATGAGCATTTAAATCATTTTCAGTCTGAGGTACTAGGAACTATGTCTCTGAGAACATCCTTGAATCTGTCCGTGGGTGCGTAGGTGTACACACTTGGAGAAGAATTCAGCAGGGTGCGCAGCTTGTGTAAATGCTATCAAGCTGTTTATCTCTAAGCAGTTTTTTTTTTCAGTAAACATTTTCAGATGCACAGCAATGCATTCGTGTTCCAAATCCTGCACGGGCACTTGAGAAAATGTTCAGTCTCTTTCATTTTAGCCATTCTAGTGGGTGTTCAGTGGTCTCTCATTGTGTCAGCCTGCATTTCTCTGGTAACCAACAAGAATGAATGTTTTTCCAATTATTGACCATTTGGATATCCTCTTTTGTGTTCTTCCAGTTACTGATCATTTGGACGTTCTCTTTTGTGAGGCATTATTCAAGTACCCTGTCTAACCGGGATTTTTGTGTTTTTCCTTAGGAGTTCTTTATGTTCCATGGCACTGGTTTCACACTATAGTCTACATCAGAATCACCCCAGGGCTTGTGAAAACAGATTACAGGTTCCTGATGCAGTAGATCTGGGTGAGGCAAAAGGATATGCACTTTTAGTATGTTCCTTCGTGATGCTGCTGGCCTACGTACTACATTTTGAGAACCAGTATTCTACAGCGTTTTAAATGTACCCACCATAGAAGTTTCTTGTTAGCTTAGAACAAAATCAAAAACAAAACCTCAATTATCTAATACTTGTTCAAGCCCAGGGCATAAGCTAATATACTCTCTCTTCTAAGAAAGGGAGTGACCAGACCCTTTCAACAGCCACTTTTCAGTCTGTCTGCAACCCACACATTTGCTTAGAACACTTGATACACCTAAGTAGCCAAGAGAACCAACGGATAACAGAAGGTTTTTTTTTTTTAATCTCAGGAAAACCAGTGGCTTTCATCAGCAAGGCCATGAGTCAGTAATCCCTCTAAGAACAAAACACAAGACTCTGTCTAGAGATGAAAACCGTCATTTATTTCAATTGAATTTTGTTTCATTAAAAATCCCGTGATGACATTAAAACAGAAATGAAACAGAAACCTATTTATATGACTGTCTTTGATCTCTACAGACCAAATAAACATATATACATTTAAAACATTTCTAGTGTTTAAACAGACCTCATTATCATCACTGCTGTCATTTCAGTCTTCTGAAATACTAAACATAACTATTAATAAACAACTTAGTGTGCGTGATTTATTGGACTAAACACTAATCACAGACTTCCAAATACAAGGCGTCAAACAGCCACATCACTTAATGTGTTTTGGTGATTTGCTATGTGTGCTTTTTACGCTTCACTTTACAAAGCAGCTGTTCTGTTAATGAATCTAAACACCTGTTATCTGTAGGCATTTATGTATAGCCCATATCCACACACCCACGTACACAAACCTGTGTGTGTCTGTGTGTGTGAATTAATATAGGCAACTTGAGGGTGGTTTCACCTTCTTCTGAGAGGTCAAGTCCACTTTAAACTGTGACAGTAACTTGAACTTAACACCTCATAGTTGCCACCATGAAGAAAATGTAAAGGCCTATGGTTCAAATGAATTACTTTTGGCTTAGGAAGTGTTGTGGTTTGTTGATTCACTAACCAGAATGACCTAAAGAAACTCTATTAGTGGTCAGAAGTAAACTGATCTGGACAGGCTCATCAAAGTGAGCCTCTCGATGCATCCTGAGAAAGTACTGCATAATTACAGTCAGTGAGTGCAACGATTTTCACTTTTTTCTCACCAACTCAGGAGAGTCTATGCATGCAATTTTGAGAGGATTTCAAGAAAAGCTAAACCAAAAAAGATTATAGTCAACAGAAGGCTTATCTGCTGTAAACCAGAACTCTAAATCAAAATAATACTACATGTTTTAGGAGTTATACTCAGAGGTTTGGCCTTTTTGGAAAATGTCACCATGCTGAGTTTGAAACCACAACACAGTTCCATGTCCAAGTCAGGCAACTCTAAGGATGAGGCCGTCCCCACCTTCATTCTCTGTTATAAAACCCGTTTTGATAGAAGGGCTTCCGTTTTGAGAAAGCCTTATTTTGTCTTTCTTATTAGAACCCAAAACATTTTCCTTCTATACTTTAACCATGTATCTTTTGGAGGGGTGGCAGACTCTCTCTCTCTCTCTCTCTCTCTCTCTCTCTATATATATATATATATATACATATATATATATATGCACATATATAATTTGTTAGTTTTATCTGCACTATTTTAATTAGCAGCCTTTAGGGGACACAACAGATCCTAGTTATGTTAAAGAAAGTAGTAAAACAATGATAACCTTCACACAGTTTTCAAGTAGAAACGCTGACATCACTGGAAACTAATAGATAATTTGGGGTCAACAGGAAAACAGAAACTAACCTGTGACAACTTTGCCCCATTCCTTACACAATGAATGGGCTTTGGCTCTGGAGTCTATTAAGGCACCAAACCCTGTTTTTACTGGTGGCCTGCACCTCTGATTTGGATTTTTAAGATATTATAATATTAAAATAAAAATTAAAAACCACTTTCTTAGAGCTTGAAATCACTGGATAAAGTTGGGAAGGGCAGTGTCCAAATACACTGCCATCTTGCATGTGCACATGTTTTTGCTAGTTTTTGTTTTTTTTTTTTTTTAAGTATAATGTAGCTTTATCCAGTGCAAAAACTATGGGAAAACACCCTTGGGACACGTTGACTTGACATCTCAGGTAGAATCACAGTGCTGTCTCAAAGATCGTTAAGACTGAGGGATGTCCGTTGGAAGTGTTCATAATCACAGGGCCAGTGTGAGCAATATCCAGATAATTCCTTTTGAAGTACACCTGTTAAAAAAAAAACAAGCATAAAAGGAACATATTCAAAAGTTTTCAAGTCCTCCTCTCTAAAGCAATGTGCTCCTATGTCTACTTCTTCATGTGAAACAAATCTTGGCGTTCACTGAGGCACAATTAAAGAACAGGCATGTATACAGTCTACAGAAAATTAGCCACTAAAACTCTCAGCTGGGCCGCCTGAATGCCAAACCACCTGTAGATCCACTTTAGTTCTGATCATTCTGATTCACAGATATATTTTATAACTCCATTAAATTGATAAGCAAAATCATTTCACTGACTCAAAACCTGAAGATAAATTAAAAACGGGGGGACAAAGAGGCTGGGAAATCTAGCGTCTGCACAAGGGTTTCTCATTTTCGCACATAAAATGAGCACAATAGCTCTGGATGTTAATATCAGGTTGTAATCCCTATACTCTATAAACTCTGACTGACAAGCATTGAAACGCTAGCGTCTATGTATGAACTATCCCAGCATTTAATTCGTGTGGCACTGCAGTCCCAGGACCCATAGAAATGTGATCTGTGGATAGCGGGCCACAAAAATGAAAAAAAGAAGCAAAAAGCTTTAACAATGACCCAACCAAGCAACTTCTCTAAAATGTAAGATGATACCAAATAATAGGACGGTCCTTTGCCAAGCCTTTGAGTCCCTGAATTCTACCAATTTCTAGCTGAACTAGAAGAGATACAGGTTTCCTGATAAATGTGTAATCAGAACATAAAGGAAATGAAATGCTGTCAGGTTTCTCTGTTCCACAATCATCAGTTTTTAGCAGCTGTATCGTATCTTGGTTCCTTGACAGATGCGCATAACAAAATGAAATAATGTCAAGACTTGTGAGCTCTTATCTCCAAATGTGTTCGGGTGAAAAAGACTTCAAATATAATTTTTTTTTTTTCCCAAAGAAGAATGTGAAAAGTTTTGTTTGAGTCTTTAAAACTGAAAACATGCCATCTATCTGAGGCTGACACGTGTCATGAGCCTGTTCTCTGAGTCATCCGATTCTGCATACACTTTATAAAACCTGACTCCAAATGTATTTGTGGGCACTGTCAACAAAGTTATCAGTGGAGATAATGGACTTCACGGACAAAAAGGAAGCATGCTGAGACACACACCTACATATTAAATGTACTTTTTCTTTTGTGGCTTGCACACTTGCTACTGCAAAAGTGCTGCTACATTTAAAATTCAATATATTGAAATGTCACGTAAGAAAAATAAAAAATTCTCTGATAATCCCTGGACTCCACTGGCTGAAAAGTGAGACAGTTTCTACTATAATGCAAGTTTTTAAAAATAAGACACTTGTGTGGGGGGCGGTGGCAGGCAAATTTCAGGTCCTCTCTCCCTACCTACTTTTACAGGCAGTTGCATTTTGAGTGGTTCTATATTTATATATTCCAAAGGGGTATTTCCTCTTGAAAGTAAAAGCAGCCAGAAGAAAAAATGGAAATTCAATTCCCTTTCTACTGCTTGAAAGTCACCCCCAAAAAGCCTGTTTCTTGCCTAAAATCCTCCTCTATATAAATTTTATCAAGAAAATGTTATTAGCAATTCTTAACTAAAATGGTCGCAGCTCCCTGGTCTGAAATGTTTTGTTGAAAAACAACTTCCTGTGTAAAATATCCTTAATTTCACTTTTCTTTTTCTCATCTGTTGCTATGTTTTATAACACAGCCTTGATAACGGCACAGGTGAGATACAGCCTCAGTTTTTACCGTGCAGGTGAGGAAGGGAACCAGGATACCCACATTCTTCAGCAAGGTACCCGGTCACAGGCTTAGCCTAGGATGGAGAGGCCCAGGCTCAGCTCTCTCTCCTGGGACTTACTGCTGACCCTGGAAAAATCACTTAACCTCTCTGCATGCTGCCTGCCTCATCTGTAAATGAGAGAGCAATGACTTACCTCATAGGAACTAATTAATGGCTACAAACTGCTAGTTGAAAACATGCCGAGTTAAGTGTTGGGTGTGTTTATGAATGCTGCTCAGAGAATTGCCCCTTAGTCCATGGAAACTAGCAGTATTACCCAGCTTGAAAGATGAAAACAAAACATCTGTGAGCCCCCTTTGTGGACCTTCTCATTTTATCTTTACAGAACCCCGGAGTTGAGACACTGTTAATGGAACAAGTGTGTTAACCGAGAAAGGCCCTGTGGAAAGGTTACCAAAGCTGGAGTCTCAACACTCCTCTGCTGGTGACTTTGAGACACTGCTTAGATTCTTTTGCCCTGTGAAGACGGACGGAGATAATGCCAGAAAAGTTCAAGCCTGGAGTCAGCAGAATAGAAGCCCAGTGAATGTCGGATGTCTTACTGATTGTTCGTCCTCTCCTCTCTGGTTTGGTTAAGAGTTCCTTTACTGTAGGTTAAAACTAAATTTAGTATTTAAACTCCAGCTCATCCACAAAGCCACTATAATGGAATTAGAGCTTAGGAAAAGCAACAGAGCAGTAAAAGGTCCCCTTTGCAGACAGAGGAGAAACAGTGGGGCTTTTTTGACAAGGCCCGTGTGAGACGGCATTCTATGTATGGAATTGTGGCTGAAGACTGTCAGTCCCTTCTCACTGAGTTGGTGCCTCCCAGTAACTCTCGGCCTTAGGTCCCTCATCCGTACAGCTGGTCTAATTCTGGTGTACAACACTGGTGTGCATCAGGTGTGATCAGAATGTACAGTGAATGCTTACATTTTGAAAACTTTATTACCAAAGAGGACACACTGCCAGTCCTCCTCCAAATACTTCCCCTTGCTTTGAACACCCTTATCCCATCATTCTTGGCACTTTCCAAAGCAGTTCTAGAAGTCTTTTGTGGGTATCCTTATGAGGTGTGATCAAAAACATTGTGAATGCTGATACCAAAGGCTGTCATACAGAAAGGCAGACTTAAAAAACATTACAGTGTGTCCTTGTCCACCTTATTCACCAGATCTGGTAACTATACAACTGCTGCATCTTCCCCAAAGTCAGAAAGACCATGAAAGGTAAATGTTTTGAATCAATTTAGGCCACAATAACACAATTACGGACCCTCATGGAAAAGAACTTTAGAACTGCTTCAGAAAGTAGCGAACAGGATAAGTGTGTTTGAAATGAGGGGTAGTATAGTGAGGGTAATTAATGGCAATGTGTCTTCTGCTATAAAATTTTTTTTTTAACATTCACCATTTTTTTATCACACTTTGTATATTATTGTCAAACTGAAAGAGTATTAGAGAGTTTGAACTTCTGCTTTTAAGATACTGAAATGTTTCTTATTCTTTAGACGCATAGCAAGTAATCATAAAGAGAACAATGGTTATCAGATTTTAAAAGCTCAAAGATATAATTTAAGATATAAATTTCTAGAAACAACAACAACAAAAAACTTTAAGGTTCAAAGGGGTACACAGTAATGTCCTGGGAAAAGCTACTGCGCTTCAGAATAAAGGAAGAAGCTGTTAGGCACCCAAACAAGGTCTAGTTATATCTCCTGTGGCTCTGTACTCCTCCATCGGAACCGACAAGGCCGAGACCTCAGAGCATAGATTTCAATGTAGTAAGCAAAAGAAAGTGTGACACATGAGTTTTACAACCAAGAACTTTAAATTAGAGAGTCATACTTCAGATACGGAGTAAGTCAAGGTGAAAAGCATTAAGTGAGTCCCAGAAAGGACCTTTAAAATGGTAGAAAATAAAATTCATAGTGAAAAATCCAAGTCATGTGTTTCTGTTGACTGAAATGATAGCATCGAAGTTTTCCAAGCAAAAATGACAGAAGGTACAAAAAGAGACATATATATTATAAGACTGATTCACTTCTCCAAATACCAGGTACAGCAAATGGACTAATATAGAAGGACTGTGAAGATCTCTATCTTGTAATTAATAAGATAGGCAAATTAAGATTCATTAAGCTATATACTTTAAACAAGCAACATTCCATCTTTTCAGTGTGCACAAAAAATTTACAAAAATTGCCTGTACACTAAGGCACCAAAAATATGAGTAATTTCAAATGAGTAGATATGGTGCAGAAGGGGCTGGGGATTTAGCTCAGCAGCAAAAGCGCCTGCCTGGCAAGTGCAAGGTCATGAGTTCGGTTCCCGGTACCAGAGAAAAACCAAAAAAAAAAAAAAAAAAAAAGGTGCAGAAAAAGATTGATGGTAAAACAATGACAGTAAAACTATCATAAAACATAAAATATACCCTTATGAGTAGGAAGTTTTTAAACTTCTGTCTTAACAAATTTCCAGGCCAAAATCAAAACTACAGAATGTAAACATAAAAAAAAATGAACTTTGATGAAAGTATTACATAAATCTAAAAGATACAGCTAAAGCAGCATTTATAGGACAATTAACAGCCTTAAAATATTTATATTAACAATTAAGACAGAATGTAAATAAATGCACTGAAGAAGAACAACAAAATAAACCAAACAAAGGAAAGACTCAATAGAGAGCAGAACCTAATCAGCTATAAAACAGAATATAAGAATCAGTGAATCTGAGAAATTCTCTGGGAGGGCTAATAGCAAGTGAATTGGAAAAAATGGGAAAGTAGAGAGTAAGTATAAACAATAGGTAGCCATTAAAAAGAATGAGACAGCTGTAAGTATTAATATAACTGAAGATGCAATATTAAATGACTAAACTAAGGGAGGGCAGGGGATGTACCTCAGAGCATTTGCCTAGCAAGGCCCTCAGTGGATGCTCAACACCACAAGAAAAAAGCAGTGGGGTGGACAGCTCTTGGCTATGCTTAAGAACAGAGAGGCTGTACACATGTACATGTTCTTGTTTTATATAGAATAGGCCCGCAAAACTGCAGAATATGGGGCCAGGACTATGTTCAAGGGGAGGATCTGCATAACAGGAGGTAGGAGTGGGAGAATGACTTACATTTTACTTATGAAAATTTTTTAAACTATAATAATTTTAGCAATAGCTTATGTCATCTGTTGAGCTGATTATTAAAAAGTTTTTAATTACTTAAGAGTCTCTAAAACTACTGAAAAGAGCTTTGGGCACTTCTTTCTGTTATCATCACGAGGTAAGGGTGTGGCCTCTGGCCTTCTGAAGATGATGACACTTTCGTCATCAGGAGCTAGAATTATTTTTATATTTTTAAAGTATTTCATATTCTTTGAAGTACCTACACTTGTGCCATCTTATCTGATACCTGCACCGTGAGTCCCACACTGCACTGCAGATGAGGACCCTGAGGCCAGCGCCTGGGGTGACTCAGATCTAAGGCCACTGCCAGCTGAGCACCTCTTTGCCTATTCAAACAGGTCCAGGCTCTTAGAATCTAGGCTGTTACGATTTCATAACCTTTGGGCTGGATCTGGTGATTTCACAGCTTGATAAAGCAGCACCTCATTACACAATGGGAACAAAGGAAGTCTGGCAACCCAGGAGGGCTGCTGCACCAGGAAAGAGCAGAAAGTGCTCATCCTTTGTTGTGGCGGAACTGTGTGGTAAATCCCTCCTACCGAAATTTTATGCTGAGGTTCTAACCCCCAGTGCCTCAGAAGGCGACCATACTAGGTCCTGAAAGAGATGATTAAGTTAAAATGAGGTTTTTTGAGCAAGCCCTGGTTCAGTGTGACTCCCAAAAAAGGGGGGCACAAAATACAGAAGAAAAGACTATGTCAAGACACGGGGCCACCCGCAAGCTGGGCACAGGGCTCAGAGGACGCTGATCTTGCTGGCATCTTCTTCTAGAACTCAGCCTCCAGAACTGTGGGAAAATCCATTTCTGTGGTTAAGTCCCCTAGTCTGTGATGGAAGCCTTCAGCTTTCTGTATCTGAAAAGTACTCTGTCTATTTTTCACGGATCATCTCTAAAGGTCAATCAAGCAGTGATTCAGCTTGCCTGTACCAACATTTTCAGAAAAGCAACTACGTGGTCAAGAATACGTGACTTGGAAGTACCTTTTCCCAGATGCTGAGTTTTGTTTTCAAACGGATGAATTCTAATCTGGGACAGTGAAAAGCTTGTTGATTTAGACTAATCCACACGGTGTTACAGTTCTGAATGATGCATTGATATTTGATCTCGTACAATGAAAAGGCTGACAATCTGACAGCTTGTTCTCCTAAGAGGACCAAGTGTGTGCAGAAAGAATGTCAAGAACGCATTCAGCTTGGATGGGAATCAAGATCTGTCTTTCCTTCTGTCTTTCTGTAGAAGTAGCTTGAGCCCGCAGTTAGGAAGGCCTGAGATTCAAGAGGGATGTCTTACCACCATGCAAGTTTCCATGACTGGCCTGACCCTGGACACCTAATGATACAAGAAGGAATGTTTGCAAACTTCTCCCAGAACACAGTACCCAGCCAGTGCATCAGCTTTGGCCAGCAATGGACCCAGGCTCTGTTCTCCACTGACCCTCTCTATGCCCCACAATAACCCCAGTCTGGCAGCCTCATAACCACGGATAAAAAAAAGAACTGCTGTGAGGGTCAAGTGCAACTATATGTGCATGAATTATGTATAGTGAATCATAAAGCACTACACAAATAAAAGTTGCCATTATGTTGTTCAACTGGATACCAGAGAATTCTGGGATCTACTGCTTGTCTGGATATATTCCGCACTAGAATTAAAATGCTGACTGAAAGAAAAGATTTCTAGTTCTGTCTCTACAATAAACGAGGATAACACTTTACTCCTTGGGGCCTTAGTTGCCTCATCTTTAAAATGAGTGTTGGATTATACTAGTTTATGTGATCTAGATCCACCCAATTTCTGTGGTCTATTCTCAACATCTTGATAATGTAATGATAACATGTGTGTGCACGTGTGCATATGTGAGCGTGCGCGTGTACCTGGTACTAAGGACCAAACCCAGAGTTTCTCAGATGCCAGGCAAGTGCTGTACTTCTGATCTACACACACAGCCCATGATTACATTTTTAAGGGGGGCACTTTGTGGGGATGGGGATGTGGCTTAGTGGTACAGCACTTGCCTAGCATGCACAAGGCCCTGGGTTCAATTCCCAAGAGGGCAAAGAAAGGGAAGGGAACCTTGACACATAGGTTTGAAACTCGACTCTTCCAATTATGCACTAGCTTTGTGCTCCTGGGAAATTTCCTCCCCTCTCTAAGCGCTGGTCCCTTGAACAGACATAATGATAAGAGGACCTATATCATGTCACAGTGTGTGACATTTAGTAAGTGACAAAGTCTAACCATCATCAGCATCGCCATCACCATCATCACGGCTCCACATAGGAACCATATATCTCTGCTCTTCTCTACTCTCTGGTTTATAAGGTCAATGACTAGGGGCATACCCAACATGTTTGTGAGGACCCAGCACAATACTCTGCACATACAGGTGTATCACCGTTTTGAAGATAGAAATAGTATTCAAAGAAATTCTGAGTTTCTAAGGAGGAATGAGATGAAACAGTGACAGAAGAGAATCTAAGTTAGATTTTGGATAAATTCTTCACACAGAACAATTGGATACTGGAATATGCTTTCTCACTCTGTATTTTTTTATACAGATTTAAAATAGTGCACAAAACAAGCAGTTTTTAATTCTACCTGCAGTGTTGAAAATCTGGGAAAGTGCAACTATTTTGAAGATGACATTTGTAATATAACAACCACTGGTAATATCCTATCACCATGTTTTGAAATTCTGTATTATTTTTATTGCTCACTATCTTGTTTTGCTTATGTATTTGTTTTTGTTATTTTGGTTTTTAAAAAATGTATATATAAGGATACCTGGAATAGGTATATTGCTGATAGGAATAGGTGATTTACTGAAAGGAACAGTCAATGCTTAAAATTTTCTTTTTTCTTGACCAATTTTGCATGCTTGAATTTGGCAATCAGAATGACTGATCTGAAAACAACAACATGCAGTGTAAGAACCATTGTTGAACTCCTACCATCTTGTATGGTGAAGCTCTGCATCATTTCCAATGTTGCCTTTTGTTTGTTTGTTTTTACTTATTACTGTCTTTGATTGTTTGATCAATCTTGCATTCTTATGTCTGGTGGACTGAGCAACTTTGTTGACGATAACAGCATGTAATGTAGCAACCATTGTAAATTCCTATCATTTTGTTTTGAGGTCATGTATCGTTTTTGTTGTTTTTGTGTTGTTTTGATTTTGTCTTCATTGTTGTTTTGTCAGTTAATTTTTTAAATAAAAAAATTAAAAAAAAAAAAAAGAAATCTACAAATACAGGAAACAATGGAGAAGGAGAAACACACCCATAGCACAGTGCCTAGAGATGAGTACTTACGACTGGAGCCTCATTATGCATAGGTAGAAGCTCATTCTGCCCTAAGTTGCGCATGTCAGGGTGCAAGAAAGAAGCATGAGTGTCTGTGGCTGGGTGACATTGGCTCGGTACCTTAACCCAAAGTGTCATTATCCCATATCCAGAAGGAGATCATTTTACACTATTATTGTTGGAAAGATATCATGGGACCTGCATGTCTTTAAATGCTGTGTGAACCTTCAAGCACTATTCAGATGATAGTGCCAAGGTAGGGTACTGTTATGATTTGTCCTGATGGCAATTTTATCTTCTCGAAGGTTGAGAAAACACAAAAAAATTTCTGAATGTAATCCTGAACAACAAAGGATGAAGGAGAAACCCCGGGAAAAAATGACAGTAGGAGTTTTCTTCATAGATTATAACACTAAGAACAGAAGTAATCTATGTTTCCCTGGTAGTTCCTTCTAGAATGCACAGAATTGTATATTTTTTCCACAAACTCACAAATCTGGCTGTGTGCTCACAGCATTTGCATGGATCTCAAACATGCTAAGCACTAAGAAAGGGAATGCAGAGACTGTACAATGAGTTCGCTCTTCTATGACAGTCTGAGCCTGCAGAGTCTAAACAGGTAAAACGTCCAGTCTAAAACCTGTCTCCCGGTACGGTTTTGCGTGCATGTGTGTGCATGTGTGTGCATGTGAGTGCATGCGTGTGCACACCCTCCTTCTCCCACTTGCTTCTGCCAAGTCCTCGCAGACCTGACTTCAACCCGGAACGTGTTGAAGCTTTGTCTCTGAAGGCTTGTAATTGAAAAGGGCACACAGTGCTTGTTACGAGACCCAAGGTGCCGAATTGTGAGGAGAGAGCCAGTGAGACAAACTTTAATTACAGCTCCCTGGCGCGTGCTCACCTGTTTTGCTGTTTCGGTGAGGGCAGCGGCTTCCCCCTTGCCCAGCTGCTGTACCATCTTGTAAAATAGGCTCTCTTTATTCTGCAGCAAAATATATGGCTCATCATATTCTTTCAGTCTTCCTGAATCCAAAACCTGGTAATCAGCAGAAAGAAGCCCATTGAAACACAAGGTTGTGCAGTAACATATTATAACTCAGACAATATTTCGGAAAGGGGCAGGAGAGGGAGAATACGGAGACACGATTTGGGTGGTAGGCCTGGAGGGTATTTAAATGGTGTGATTACCCTGTTTTACAAAGCAAACAAAGGCCTAACCTGACCTTTTATTATTATAATGTTATAGGAAAGGAAGAAAATGAAAATTCTAGGCTATTATCACGGACACTCAGCAGTCCTGTGGCATTGCAGATTTGGCCAAGGGCATCTGGGGTAGTTGTTATTAGTGCTTTTAACGTTCTCAGCCTCTGAGCTTTGCGAGGTATTTACACATGCATTCAGAGGTGGGAAACTTCCTGACTCGAGAAAATCAAGCTCAATTTACTAAAAATGTAGAAGGTCATCAGACAAACCAAATGACAGTGACCTGGCAAATGAATCAACCAGCTGGCCTGACAGAATCTGACCAAAGATGGAACAGAAGTAAGTGCATCTGGAATTTCTTCAGGGTGCTTGACCATCGGCTGGAAAGAAGGGCTCACTGTTGGTGAAGTTCAGGTGCATCCTGGCATTGCCTCTGGGTGCCGTTTATTATTCTGGGAGCGAAAGACTGGCAAAGAGAGCTGCTACCTAAGCAGCTTTAGCCTGAATGTTAAAGCTGCACAGAAGAAAACTCCAGAAATCCAATTTTCTCTTTGGATAAGACTAAAGAGGCAATTAAGAAACTAAACTCCGAATTTCAGTGATCATGGACCACATAGCACACGGGGGCAGCCCAATGCACACTGCTAAGGGCCTGAATCTGTTTTCACAATTACCTTTCCTTGCCTCTTTCTTTCTCTTTAGCTGCCTGCCTTTTAGCCGTTTTATTGCTCATTAATATGTCCACTGGAAATTGAAAGAGAGAGGAAGGGCCTCTTAACTCTGCATTTCTACTTATTAGTGGCTTTGGTTAATGGTTTCAGAGAGAAGAAAGAGTCTGAGACAATTGGCCCAAATGACGTCTAGGAAAACCGTTCTGCTGTTAAGTGGTACTTAATTCTTCATTTAGGCTGTGTTTAGAATAAATTCATCTTAAGAGAGTATGCTGCAACTCTAAGCAGGACATAGGTTGTTTTTCCACATCTACATAGTGCAGTTAATTCTGGCCCATGGTATTTAATCGGAAACATTTATTAAGTCTCATAAAGGGCATTTTCCTGTTAATCTTTTGTTTACTACTGTAAATCACTGCTAAGGGCAGCTTTCTCAAAAAGAGTTCAAGAATAATTGAATCTGTCACATCCACATAATAATTAAAGTGTCCTATAATTTGGTGTGCCAATTTAGATGCCCCGAATGTATAATTTTACTTAAGCATAGCGTTACAGTGTACAACCACTCCTCCTGACATGGAAGAAGAAAAAAATGCAACTTTAAAATACAGGTCTCTTCCACGCTAAAGCCTACGTAAATAAATGCACTGAATTACTTTACAAAATGTTGAACTTTCTGTTCTGCAGAAGCAATAAGCAAACTTTAAAAAGTCATCATTTTAGAGGTGGTGCAGGGTGAGGACTCTCCCTATAAAGACTACACCAAACTGTAATGAAAAGAAGGTACGTCTACTATTTTGTCTCTGTCCAACTTATTCAAACGTGAACAATGGTAAATCTTCTACTTCCCCTTGTTGAATCTGACAGTTCACAAATGTCACTAAGGCCAGTAGTTCTCAGAACTGAGCATGACCTGAAAAGGGCACAGCCCCAGCAACAAGGCTCTCAAAAAGCCAGAGGATTGACAATGGAAGTGACAGATCATTTTGGCTAAGACACTTTGTGTCTTCTTAGTATTAATAATTTAATGATTGTGCTTTTTATTTTGTTGGAAGTTTCAAATTCGGAAGGATGACAGATAATTTTTTATAATGCTTCTGGTAATTTTTGATAAGGCTTTATAACTTATTAGATCGTGTGTGTGTGTGTGTGTGTGTGTGTGTGTGTGTGTGCGCGCGCGCGCGCAAGGGACTGAATCCTGGGCATATTAGTCAGCATATTTTATAGTCAGCATATTTTACCACTGCAGTACACCCCTAGGTCTAGACCTTGAATTTTCACTTTTGTAAGGTAATGCTATGAAAATGTAAAATGAATCCAGCCTTATTAGTACTCTTTGATAGACACACAAAAAAAATACCAGGCAGGGTATAGCTCAGTTTGATCCCTAGTACCCCAACAAAACAAACCAGCAAACAAAGTAGTAACTTAAAATGAACGGGATTATTATGTCCCACAGGGTTGCTGAGCTAGGCTTGAGATGGGGTGCCCTGCTATATAAATACAAAGTAGCAAGGAATGTGGTGTTACAATAAGGTGAATGGAAAAAAACAGCTTTTGAACTTGAAAAGGAAAATAACAATGTGTATGAGGTGAACATTCACTGAATTTAAAGTCATCACTGTTACTCTCCAAACAGATGAGATAAATAAGATTGATAATTCTCTTCCTTCCTTCTATTCATCCATCCAAACAGATAACTTGGGCCTGGTCACGTGCTGTAGACGGCAGAGCTGCCACTCCAGCCTGGGTCTGAATCTCTTTTCTTCACCGTGTGAATTCTAAGACACTGTTAGCACACTGGCTGGCAAAAGTTAAATAACATTAAGAAAATTTAAAATATTTAGTTTTCTAAAGTACCTTTTCATCTGGATATTGTATTTATTCTTTTTAAATTTAAGAAAATATGCCTGTAAACATAAATCTGTCCTGAGTCCACTTGCCGAGACAATTTCATTTATTTTATACTTTTGCAGTACTGGGAAATGAATTTAGGGTCTCACACATGCTAGGTAAGTGCTCTACCACTAAACTACACCCCCAGCCCTTTCTACTTTGGGAGAGGATCTTGCTAAATTTCCCAGGCTGGCCTTGAACTTGTGATCCCCCTACCTCAGCCTCCCGCGTAGCTTGGATTACAGGTGCTACCACGGCACCCAGCTTTCCACCACCCTTTTATTACACTCATGACTCAAATTATTTGTGTGTGCCTGGTATATAGTCACAGAGGAGCAAGTAACACAAGGCCAAAACCCACTGGAGGAAAACCGCTTAAGTCATTTTTCAACAATTCCTGAATGTATATGGCACACATTTCTTGCACACTTACTACATTCATGTCACTACACTAGGCGCTGTGGAAGAGGCGAAGACAGGTAACTCTCGGCCCTGCCTTTAGCAGTCCATACTCAGGAAGGAGGTGGAAATACCCAAGGAACTATCACGCAAGAAAAAAAGCAAGATAAGCAGGAGTTTCGGCATCAGAAGAGGTCACCCGGGCCAGAGGTTCTGAAGAGGAGCTCAGGAAGGGGTAACAGCAAACTGGGTTGGAAAGGTAAACAGACCTGGACATGCAAAGATGCAAGCAGAAGGAGAGTAGTCATTCCAGATACAAAAAACATGGGTTGGGGGTCTGGAGGTACACCTGCCCCCTCCTGTCCTATCCTCAATGGCAGGAGGCAAGTGTGCGTGGCTTCTCTTGTTCACTGTTGCATTGCCTGGGCAATGTACGTGGCAAGTAGCAGGTACCTGACGCATAGGTGAAATGAAAGCTGGAGCATCACTGGGTGGCTATCTAAGCGTGTGAAGGCTGGGAAGACCCAGCTGATATTCGGCTCAGGTAAGGCAGCGATGCACGGATTACAGGACTGATGGCTACGGGCAAGAGGGGTGAAGTGAAGGAAGAGGCAGAGCAGGCTGGAGACCGGAGGGCTGCAGACTGACTTATGTTAAAGGAGCAAAGAGAGACAGCAGTGGGTGTAAAGTCTCAAGTTGGCGTGCATGTGGGAAAGAATGCAAGGAACAGAATTTTACCCACTTAGCCTTTCTGTTCACCGACTTCGCTAGAGTCTAGTAGATATTTTAGAATAAAAGAAATCCTGAACTTTCTTTCTGTTTAGAAGAGCAGAACTTTCAATAAACAATTTTGAACATCTTTTTCTATCAATAAGAAAAGGCTCCTGAAATCTACTGGTCCCCACCCTTCCTGGACCCAAGTAAACTGTAAACGACGCCACACACCAACACTGATGAGCCAGCCATCTCTCAACAGCCTTCCCTCGGCCCCAGGATCTCTCCAGGAATGCCAGCCTCAAATTGCTCACTGCTCTCTAGTAGGTTAAGGAAAAATATATTATGTCGGGTGAGTCAGTCAGTTACATAAACTCAGTGAAGATGTGGTTACCAGGCCTACAAATCTGCAGAGAGTCCAGGTAGCCGTCCTAGATATAAAAATTAGATGGACTCATTGCAAAATGGCTTAACCCACTTTAGTGGGCAAGATGCCATCATGATATTGGGGTGTCACAAGGGGAAAGAAACAGAAAAGCTTCCACTCTGGCAATAGGCAGTCCAGGGGACCCCAATCAGTGACAGAATAGGGAAGAAATGACAAAGCTGTAAAGATCTGCTTTGGGATACTGGTGACCAAGGGGCAAATGGATAGTATCCAACCTTGGAAGTTGGCTTCCTTCTTGCAAACTGGGGACCTGTGACTTTTCTCTGTGACTATATACTGTGGCATGTGACAAAAATCATTCTCTTTCCCTAGTTTTTAAATGAGTAAATGATTCTTCTTATCTGGGGGAGGGGGCCATGAGGTCACGGTGACCTCCCTGCCACTCCAAAGCTTCTGCCGTCCTGTGTACCCTTCACTCATATGTCTTCTCTCAGCATCTGTATTTTCTCCCTGATGTTACTTTTTTTTCCACCTAAACACTTGAATCTCTCTGCATATTTTTGAGACTGCGTTTTTTCTTCTGAAATGTTCTAACTGTGGTCATGTAGGCTTATCAAATAAAAGTTCTATGAAGGTGAAAATGGAAATTTAAATAAAACTTGAATTAGCTTTGCACTGTTGTGCTTCTCTAGCTGGGTATGTTACTATAGTTCTGAGGTTTATTTTCTGTGGAAAACAACTAGGAAGATTTGAGTTCAGAAAGGTAAAGATGATAAGACCATAAGATGGTCTATGAGCAGAAAAGGTACAACCAACCAGCCAGCCAACCAGCCAGCCAGCTTCCAAGTTTCTTTCCCTCCCTCCTTTTCTTGGCCTGGTACAAGCTAGGCAAGTACTCTACCACTGAGCTACATCCCCAGCCCTACAATCTGAGTTTCTAAATTTTGGTTTTGCTTCTCTGTAATTTACTCCTAAAGAATTCCTTGATTCTTTGAAGATATTATTATCCATGTATTACAGCAGCCATTGATATTTTCCTATTAATCTATCCATAACTCTGCAATGTTTGTATTGTTCCTATCCTATGTTATAAATGGATGCATGTTTATTATTATGTGTTTCCTACAACAAACATTGAGAATAGTTAATGATTATTCAGTAGGTCACTCATGTATAGCTCTATTTATTTTCTTTAGAAGCCACTTTGAAGATACCAAAGTATAGTACAACAACTATTGATAATCTCCTACCTCTTTTGTCTATAACTCACTATCATTTGTCTGTTTGTTTTCCTGAGAAACTATCTTGTAGATAACAATATGTAAAACAATAACCATTGATAATTTCCTACCACTTTGTCTGTAATTTGGTAAGCCCCCCCATTATTATGTTATCCTTCTTTTACTCTTTAAAATAAAAAAAATAAAAAATAAAAAAAGAATTCCTTGATTGCCAGAAGTGACAACATTGAGCACAGGCTACAGTAACAGCTGAGAGAATCCAGAGAGGTGTAAGGACTGGGGTGTACAGGGACTGGATTAAAAAACAAAACAAAAAAAACACACAGATCACAAGTGACCAACTAACCCTGAAACCTACAGAGAAGAGGCTGACTTAGCGTAGCACTGGAGTAGAGCACTAGGAGAAAAAGACGTTCTAATTTGTCTGTCTTGCTCCACTGTTTTGTAGCAACTGAGCAAATGAGGAAGATTAAATTAGCTGTCATAACAATGACACCATGTTTAATAAAGTTAAAACTGAGAGAACATCTTCATAAAATGGAATTCTAAGCCGAACACATTAATGGTGCTTAATGAACCAAAACTGGGTAAATCCCTTTGGAAAGGCAACACATAAACAAAGCTATCAATTAGGTCACAGTTGTTTCTCAACAAGCCTTTTGTTTGATTTACTTACAGTAAACAAAGCCACATCCATCTGTCTTTGTGGAGAAGTATTCACCAGTGCAACGAAATGTCATCATTACATCTTGGGCACTTGCAATCAGGACAGTATGATGACAGTGCTTGATATTCCCTTCATTAGCATCTGTCACTTCCCTCTCCACTCCCTGCACCTGGTCGCTACCCTCTGGAGTATCAGGCTTTGCAGCTGACTGACTTGGCTTTGTGTCTTCACACATTCAGAATAACAGAAAATCACTTGGTTTTTTTGGGCAGAGGGAAGCAATAGGCATTTCCAAAGTGAACAAGAAAAATAATTGCTTCAAAAATCAAGGGTTTGAGAAAGAACATTATTGGCTGCTACAGTTTGGCCCATGAATGTCCTCTAAAGGCCCACCTAAAGACCCAGCTGAAGGCTTGGTAGCCAGGGTGGAACTCTTGGTAGATGGTTGATATCTAAGAAGCGGGGCCTAGCAAGAGGTCTTTAAGTCACACAGTACGACCCTAAAGGAGATTCTGGAAGCCTGGCCTCCTCCTTGCTTTCTTCTGCTTCCTGGCCACAAAGCGAGTTTTGCTATGCCATATTCTCCCACCACCATGTCCTGCCTCAGTACAGGCTCAAAGCAAAACACCAAATGACTCTGGACTGAAATTTGCAAAACTGTGAGCCAAAATGAACTTTTTTCTGTATAAATTTTCTATCTCAGGAATCTCATTATCATGACAGAAGGCTGATGAAGTCACTGGTTTTCCTCTGAATTGAGCCAGCTAACAACCAGAAATTCTCCAATAAGAAAGACTTCCACCTGGGGTGGAGAGAACACAGAGGCCACTTCCTCATATCTGAGGCTACAGAACGCATGTTTCTTGGGTGCTTGGAGGTCAGTTCCTGTCACTTTCTATGAAATAAGTCAGCAACAGAAACTAAGTAAACATGTTCACCTCTCCTGGTAGGACCCATGACATTGCTGACAACAAGGACAAGGAATTCTGAGCTGAAGATCTTCCAGAACTGGAGTTGGGAGTTCAAGAGGCAGAGCCACAGTGAAATCCAGGGACATCTCAGCTGTCACATGCTCAAAGCAAACCCTTCTCTAAGCCCACTTCTCTCTAGGTCTTCCCCATTCATCCAGATGCCCAGGCTCTAACCCTAGAAACCAGAACTGTTTCCTCATACCCATGTTTAACCCATCACAGTCCAGTTGACCTACTTCTGAAAAGAAGATACTAGACAAATAATCAGAGACCACTGCTTGGCACCTCCAGATCTGCTGTGTAGGAGGCTTTCTGATTATTACCAACAGATCCTCAGCCTAGATCAACCTTTCTACATTTAACCTTTCACTAGGGCAGTCGGTTCATAGGCTCTTTAGCCAACAGGCTCTGCCAAGTATTGCCAGTAGGGGGCACTAGACAGAGAGAGGAAGTTGTACATGGGCCAAAGGTCTTGTCTTCCTGACTGCTGCCACTGCCGCCAGCACTACTCAGGTGCCCAGTCTCTATCGTCTCTGCGCAAGTGTGTAACCAGCCTCACGATGGTCCCTTACTGACATGACCAGTAGCTGGCCAGCAGGTCCTCCTTGGAGGGATAAACACCAATGCTTAGAGCCCCTCCTCCGAGCTCCTGTTATGAAGACCTGTTTTGCTGCTTGTAAAATTATCACTGTGTCTCATCCCCTCATGCCCCTAGCCTTCTGATTCCTATGTACAAGTTTCTTACATTAAATCCTTCTGTTGAAACTCTTTGTCTTTCTGACTAGGGTGTTTTACTTTAAAATATTATTTTTGATCGACATATCATAACTACTATATTACATTTATGAGGTATAAAGTGTTGTATTATATGTATACAATGTAGAAGGATTAAATCAAGCTAATTAACATAACCTCAACCTCACTTATATGATTTTTTTTGTGGTGAGACTTTTGAAATTTACTCTCAGTTATTGTGAAGTGCACAACAGTTTCCCTGCTGGGCAGAAGATTTCAAAACATTCCTTTAACTGAAAGTTTGTACCCTTTGTCCAACATCTCCTATCAGCCTCTGATAAAGCTCCACTTTTTCAGATTCTATGCAGTGTCTGTCTTTCTGTGTAGCGTCGTCTGTCTCTCTATACGATGATTTCACTTAGCATAATGTCCTCCAGGAACATCAACACTGTGCCCAATGCCAGAATCTCCTTCTGTTTTAAGGTTGAATAGTATTCCACCGTGCATGTGTACCTCATTTTCCTCATATACTCATCCACTAATGGAAACTCAGATCGCTTCTACATCTTGTGAATAATTCTGGAGTGAGCGAAGGGTTGCAGACAGCCCTGTGATACACTGATCTCATTTCCTTCGGCCATATTTACCCCAATGTGGGACACCTGGATCACATGGAAATTCTACTTTTAATTTTTTGAGGAACGTCCATTTTGGTTTTGCTAATTTATATTCCCACCAACAATGCACAAGAGTTGATGAGACCCTTCCTGAAAATGTTCTGTTTGGGTCTTTCACACCTCCCCTCACAGCACATCAAGGTGCCATCCGCTGAGAGATTCTGCAGCCTTACCCAACAGCCTCCCAAGAGCTTAAACACGAAGCTAATTTTTTTTTAACATAAAGCTGAAACAACTGTAACTCAGAGGAAGTGACACTGTCCTACTCTTCTGCAGTAGGAAGCTTAGCATCCCAAGGTCCACTTCCTGGATTTGGGGTATTTTCGTTAGTTGGTCATCTTAAAGAAAAATAGCAATTCAAACAAATGTTTAATATGAAATTAGGCAAAGAGATGTACTAAATATTTTTATAGCACTGGATGTATAGTTCAGTCCTTGAATTGCTGGGGATGAGAGAAAAACTGAGAGCAAATTAATTTCTTGGGAGTTTCTATCAGCTTTTGTAAGAAGGGGTAAATTGTGAAACACAACATAAACGGAAGCTACCGGATGTCCCCAGGGAGGGCTCACCATGATCTTGTCGCTGTCGATGATGGTGTTCAGTCTGTGCGCGATGGTCAGCACGGTGCACTGAGCAAATTTCTCCCGGATTTTTTTTTGGATTAACTCATCAGTTCTGGAATCACACAAGTTAGAGTTCATTCAGTACAGATGAAAAAAGTAAACAAGATTTTACAGATCATAAGATACTTTAATTCTTTTAAAAAAAAATCAGTATTTTAACACACAATCACATTCAAAAACCGTAGAAACTTTGGGAATTTTACTGTTTTTCATAAAACAATGGAAAATACATTCCCCCTCCAAAATGTTTGGAACTATCAGAAGTGGGGTTTAGGAATCTCTTTCAGAATGCCTAGAACGTAAGTTGAGTATTCCTTATCTGAAATGCTTGCGACTGGATGGTTTTCAGATTCCGGATTTTGGAATATTTGCATATAATAATGGGATATGCATACCCTGAAAGTAACTTTATACAACATTTCTACTAATTTTGGGCACCACATTTAAAATTCACATTCAGTGTTACATGGACTTCAGTTCTGTACCTGGGGTCTACATTTGCTGTCGCTTCATCAATAATCAATATGCGATTTTTCTTCAGAATTGCCCGGGCGAGGCACACTAACTGTCTCTGTCCAACGCTAAAATTGGACCCTGATTCTGCTAATTCAGTATCCATTTTACCAGGGAGATCTTCGATGGCTTCTTTCAGCTGTACCTGAGGAGGGAGACAGAGAATGACATCTTCCTCAACAAACCACCACGGAAGTAGACAAGGCTCTTCAACATTACAACTCTCAAGACTTGTGTTACTCGTACCGTCTTGGCACGGCGAGAGTTAGTTCCAGCCAATGTTTATGAGAGAGATGGGAGACTCAGAACAGAAACAGTCTGACGTAAGTGGACAACCCGAATGGGACCCAAGGAACTTCTTCTGTCACCACCTCTGTAAGTGCTGCCACGCGGGCTCATGAGTTAACAGTGCTGGTGCAAATCTCATTAAAAAATATACAGTGCGCTGAATGAAATCATTCTCCAGGTAGAATATACCAAAGTAAAAAATTCCTCTTCTTAATTTTTAGCTAAGAGGTAACTGCAGGAATTTACAGAGACAGAAAAGAGAATTGTTGGGGAGGGACTAAAGGATTAACTATAAATGGGTAAGAGGGAACTTCTGGGGTGAAGTATTCCAAAACTGGATTGCTATGATGGTCATCCAACTCTACAAACTTGCTAAAACCACTAGATCACACTCAAAAACGGAGCGTTCTCTGGTATGTGACTTCTATCTCAATGAAGCCGGCAGACATAAATCATCCCAGAGCCCTCATCACCTGAATGCCCATCCCACCATGTGATTGCCACCAGGCACCTATGGGTACTTTACCACTTGGGAAGATTTTAATCAACTGGAAAAGTTTTAAAATATTTCAAACAATGGGAAATTGCACCTCCTATGTTGGGAAATCTGGATCCTATTTGGGGGATGGTTCTTTCCCAAGTTTAACCCCACGCTGCTAAAACTGTCAAGTGTACTTACCTCAGTCTCATAAATTCACCGCAGTGAATAAAAAACTCATGGAAAACAGGACACAACGTAACATCTGGCCTCCGATTTGGGTATTTATATTAATCTGTCCTTGTAAAATTGTAGTTATAAAGTGATGTGAGTCTACACTGGGTGATGATTCAGTTCAATGACTATTTTGTTTCAGAGAAACTTTATACAGCAAGAGCCAAATAAGAGCTATCTTTGAGAACTAAGAACCAGAAAGAGTCCATACGCCTCACAGTCAGAGATCAGTAGACTGATGAGTGCAAGCAGGTGCACAGAATTGCAGTGTCAAACAACGAAAAGTCAGGGACCCTACATGCTGAGGCATTTCTACCAACAACGCCTTGAGTTGTGCTCATGGTGGAAGCCCAACTCCAAGAACTGGGAATTCTGACTTAAGATTAAATACGGTATTGGTGCTTGGTGCTAACATGAAACAGGAAAATGTACAAAATTTGAAGTCTGCCATTTGGATCGGGGGCAAGACCCTGTACTGAAAACTCCAGAAGACGTCAGTTTGCTCAAGCACCCTCCATTATAAGGAAGAGGACCACCTGAGTACTGTTGCTAGGAGACAGACTCACAGATCTACACCTGGGTCCCCGGACTACACCAAAAGTATATGGTGGCAGTTTTATCAGTTTTATCAGTTTTTCCTGTGAATGGACTTTAGTAATACTAGTGCATGAAGATTTCTTTTTTTATCAGTTTTTCCCGTGAATGGACTTTAGTAATACTAGTGCATAAAGATTTTTTTTTTTTTGGTGGTGGTACTGGTGATTGAACCCTGGTGCCTTCACATTAAGCTACATCCCCAGCCTTTTTTTATTTTAATTTTTAATGTCGAGACCGGGTCTTGCGAAGTTACCCTGGCTGGGCTGGAACTCTAAGACTGAGGGTCAGACTTTGAAGATATAATCTTACAGTTTCCCTTGACTAAGGTGACAACGTATCACTTAACTGGGAATAAGGGTTTTGAGATAGAGAACAGGGGACATGCCTTCCAGAAAACAGTTCTGAGCCTCTGTCTTCATTAATGAATCAGAGAGGCTATGAGAATGATACCAGCACGAAGGTCCTCTGAAGTGCTATCCTATGCTCCAGCTACGATGAAGTGCTACAAAGAGGAAGACACAGAGAGGTAGGAGAAGACAGCAAGAGTGACCACAGGGAAACACTGGGTAAGTACTCTTACATTTATTAAGTGAGATCATTATTGTTATCTCACAATCAGCAATAGGCATTACTGAGCTGCTTTAACCTCCAAATGGTTCAGCAAAATGCAGACTCCCAGATAGAAGGCAGATGAGGCAAGATATTAACAGCTGAAAAATCAAGGTGAGGAAATATGGTTTCATTAATATTTCTGTGACTTGAAAAAAATATTTCCATTTTTTGAGAGAGTCTCACTATGTAGTTTAGGCTGGCCTTGAACTCACTATGTACCTTAGACTGGCCTAGAGCTCTCAGGGATCCTCCTGCCTCAGCCTCTTGAGTTCTAGGATTACAAGTGTGCACCACCACATCCAGCTTCAAAAATTTTAAATTAAAGTGTTGGGTCTTTTTGCCAGACAGTCAGACTTGGGCCCTGCCTAGATCTGCCAATAGGGCAAGTTCCTGAACTTTCCCTTAGCTTAATGAGACATAATATTATTATAAGCAAGATCTCTATCTCCCAATGCTATTGGAATATAAAGTAAGTCAGTATGTGTATTTAGAACAGTTCTCGCTACAAGGGAAGAGATCAACAGATATTGCCTAGTACTAATGTTGCCAGCCAGTTCTCTTCATGATCTGCTTTACTGTCCTTTGTTAGTCCAATGTAACTGTATTCCCATGTGCTTTTGCTTATTTTCTATCTTCTCCACAAGAATTAAGCTCTCAGAATCTCCAACACCTATGCAAGAAGCTGTCAATAAATACCGGCTGAATATATGAATGAAGCCACAGCACATCTCACATCACTCCATATCTCTTCCTATAAATTAGAAAATATATTCATAATGGATATATATGTAATATATAATACACCATTTCTTATTATATTTCATTATAAAAGAAACATATTCCTTATAACAGTTAATTGGCTCCAGGATATCACTGTAGCCATGCTTCAAAATGTGAAAAGCATTTTTAAATGATAATTTCAAGCTGGGCGTGGTGGTGCACACCTGTAATTCTAGCACTCTAGAATTTCACTACAGAAAGACTCACAGTCTTGAATGAAACCAGAGGTCAAGCGCTTTTCAAGTAGGAGACGGTGAAGTAAGCGACCCAGTTTAGGGCAATACAATCCCCACAGCTGCTGGAAAGCGGGGTGGGTGTGAAGACGCAGCACGGACATGCCTTCAGAAACAAGAATTACTGGCAGGAAGTTGTCAGGCCTCCAAATCTGCCTGCTGCAGACACAACCCATCTCTAAAGATTTTAGCGCTAACCCTGGAAAGGGGCAACAGTGACGAACACACCCATTCACAGTGACAATAACAACGATGAGGGCCTGATCACTGAGAACTGTGGGTTTTTAAAAAAAATAAGCCACACTTCTAGGAAATGAAGAGATCAACCATTCAATCCATATTCATTAAATGCTTACTTTTTAAAAGTAAAAGAATGAACTAGGTCCTATGAGGGATTAGAAGTCTAAGATACGGTTTCTGCCACTAAGTAGCTTAGAATTAATTTGCAGAACTAGCGTGAACATGCAAAATATGTAGTGTTGAAATACATATATAAACCGACAGCATTGTAACAGTCAAAATCCTTTTCCTGGGAAGGCAAGGAAATGCGAACAAGGGGTCCACAGGGAAACGGGGAGACGCTACACAAATAACAGAAAATCCTACAAAAAAGAAGGTATCCGTCTAAAAGTTTAGCAAAAGCTCTGACATTCTGTTACCTGAATTCATTCTGTAGCATTAAAATGACACATTTGCCAATAAATAACTATTGTCACATCCTAACTGCATAATTTGCCTTTATAAGCACTTTCAAATAAAACTTCAAAGAATTTTACAAGTATGATCTCACTCATCTTTCATTTAATAACACTGAACAATTACGGTCTCCACTTCCTGGATGCTTCCTAGGAAGCGAGCAGCAGAATCAGCAGTACAGGGTACTTAGCCACTAGAAGAATCTGAATCCATGCACGCGACTTCTAACAGTGCCCAGCTAAGGACAGATAAGATAATGTATCCTGCTGTTAGGTAACAAGAGAAGAACTGAAATGAAAACGTGAGACCTTTCATTCCTGATGTTCACAATCATCAATATATACATTTAGCACATCTATGTCATCAATGTCTTCTGTGAGAAACAAAGTTAAAGCAATCAGCTCCCCTCAGCTGCCTGCAATGCTACAGACAGACATACACATATACTGATGCTATTAAGACAATCACAGTATGTAAATTACCTCTTCTAAGGCGTTCCACAGTTCCTCATCCGTGTGCTCATTAAAGGGATCCAGGTTTTTCCTCATCGTTCCAGTGAACAACACAGGTTCCTAAATGTCCCCAAGAGTGAATGTTGTTATTAGTTTCTTCCCATCATATTCCAGTCCTAACTCTCAGAACAGAATTAAACTACCAAACACCCCCAAATTCATCATAGTCATTAATTCTAAGGGTACAGATCCCGTTTAGAAAGCAAGATTTCCATTACTTTCCCATAGCATAAACCCACAGTGCTCTAAAATCTATTCCACATCACTGAACACGCACAAAAGAAACTGCTGCAGTATGTCATCTTATTAAGAAAATGAAGAAAAAAGGAAGGCTCCTAAAAAAAGAAAGAAAATACCTTCTTGGTAATATCTGTGGAAACAGGAAATGCAAGGATATACTTATTTGAAGAAATTTACATCAACGGAACTAGAAATTGTCTATCCTGGTGACACACTGGAAAATACCAATGGCATTCATAACTAGTTGATGTTTGTGTTTCAAAGGAAAACTGTTCAATGTTTTCTCCATTGGTAAAGCAGTCTTCCGGGATTGGGAGTCTCCCTGCGTGCCACAATGGGAAACTTCTGGCCTTTGTCCAGGAGACATGAATTAATGGGGCCAGTGGCACCTCTGTTCATGAAGAGGTCGCCTCTGACGTTGCACCAGCTAATCCCCACGTTATCTGGGCTGTGCATCAGGGATGCTGGTCTTACCAAACCTCATTATTAACTACAAGGATAAAGTAACCTGAAACCTATTGTGAAGCATATCATGTCACAGAATTATTTTAATTTAAATAGCTCCTCCCATTCATTTGCCTTAGGAGGAGCCCACAGTTAAATGGCTCTTGAGATACTGTAGATTTTAAGAGCGAATCATGTCCAAGAGCTTATGGAGCCTTGCAAATGTTGTCTTCTGGAAGGTTCTAGCAACCCAGGCTGCAAGGTCATGGGTGACAGAGAACCCAGCCAGCTACTCTGAGTGAAGGTGCCCAGAGGAGGGGACAAGAGAAGCACTGGCTCTGCCTCAGGTCCTGGAGAACTGCTCAAGGGACATCAGCCTCCACTCTCACCTAGTCTTGGGGCTGGGTGCCCAGTGCCTGAGAAGAAAGAAAAACTAAGGAAGACTTTGCTCGAGCCATGAAGAAGAATGACATTGTCCAGCAGATTCTCAGTCTTAAGACTGACTGGTAAGGGAGGAATAGAAGCAGAAGGCCAATGACTTCCCACCAAAATATATGACAAAATTGAAAAATTAAGAAGACATTAAAAAGGGCATTATATTTACACTAAGTAGTTGGTTAAGTAACCAATATCCCTCCAAATCACCCCAAAACCACTGGTCAGTCATACAATGTTTCAGAATGACTACTAAATTGAACTTCAGAAAAAAATAACAGCGTTATTTAAATGATCAAGATGCGCTATGTGTACACACCAGTTTCCCAAGATGAATGCAATTATGTACTGCAAACATATACTAACAGAAAGAAACTTAAATGGTTAAAAAAAAAAAAAAAAAAAAGATTTCACTTAAAATGACTGATTTTAAGGCCAAAGCCTAAACAACAGTCTAGGGAGTGGTAGGATTTCTTGTCAGGGAATAACCATCATTCTACCAACTTCAGAGTTTTAAGAGAAAATGTGTATACTCTATTGATCAATTCTAAGATCAATTCTAAGATTCCAACAAGCTGGATAAGTTCTCCCCCCTTTGTTGCTTATATGAAGCATATAAAGTGATGTGTCCGGGGACAGGGTGCGGCTACCCACCTTTCCTCTCTGCATTGCTTCTCCTCCCACCACCCCCCAAGGGCTCCTTGCTGTGGCTGATACTGGGTTGGCTCAGGGGCTGGGGCAGTGTTAGAGGAGACACAGGGGCTGGAAGGAGAGGTTAAGAAGATGGCTTTGCACCTATGTGGAGAAGACAGAGGTGGTCCCTTGGCTTCTATTCATGGCTACAGGTCCACTTCCTCATCCAGGGTGGCTTCTGTCACCTTTTTCCTTCAGGCTCCTCTCCTATAGCAAAGTAATTTCTGGTAACAGGTTGAGTTTGATAAAGTTTCCTCCTAGGTATTTACAAAGAGCCCCCTTTACAGATGCTACTTAAGCCAATGTATGAGAAAACTGCTTTGCTTTGTACAGACTGGTCTTCTTTTCTTTGTTCAAGGATGGAAAGGTTCACAGTACTTAGTGTATTTAGAAATACTGATCTGGCATCTTATGAGAACAGGCACGGGAATGCACTCCAAGCCCAATCTCCTTTTGCTTAACCAAGGCCTTGTGCCTGTGACCGCCTTCACCAGCTTCCCTTTAGGAACTCCTGGGAAGGATGAGCCTCTGCAAAGACTGAGGGACTAATGTGAGATCTAAGGCCTGGGCCAGCTGTAGCTGCTCTGCGATGGCCCCAAAGAGGTTCTGTGAATGTAACCAAACCATGGTGTGGGCTGGCAGAGAAAGACAGGTAAAGTTCAAGCATTTCTCACTGCAATAAGGCCCCCGCGTACATGTACACTGTCAACTTAAACAGAACTGTTGGGCAATCACTCCTGTTTATTTAGCAGTATCGAAAGAAAACACTTTCTTAAATAGGAACATTTTTCCTTTGTTATGGTATGCTGACCATATATTTCACTGAATAAGGTTCCCATCAAAACTTGTTGAATGAGGAGAATGACTGAATAACAAATTAACTGAGTAAAGCTACATTTTTCTTTAAAACCAGCAAGTAATTTGTTCACAATGTCTGTTTTACTGTGGGAACGTGTTTTATGTGCGGTGTTCATGTTGGTTTCCAGTCATGCTACTTCCATGCATTTGCCAAATAAGAAACCATTATATTATCTTTGAAAGGTAATAAAAGTGCTCATAGTAAGACACAGACTGCAGGGGGAGATAAGGGTCAAATTAATTATCATTTCTGATAGATATTATTATTGAAAGTACCTACCTCCAGGCAATGAAGTTAATAAACTAATATTATAAATAAATGTTGTAAAAGTGTTCGCAGAGAGACATTTCAGTGTAGGGATTTATGGGAGGACATACAACCTTCTTGTAAATATCTACAAAATTTATTAGACTAAATATATTTTTTTCCTGAAGGGACATGTTTAAACTGTGTTTAATGAGAGTTTTTATTTTTACCTCCACAGTTGGTTGGCATGGTGCAGTAAGGGAAACAAATGCTCTTGTTTAATGTAATAATTTAAATGGAAGACTAGAATAAGACCTGTTTTTCATCATGGTTTAAAGTTTAAGCATTTTTTAAAAAAATACTTAGGGCTATAGTTAGTAATGAACTATTTTCGCTATTATTAACATCCTAAGTTCATATTAAACAGGTGACCCCAAAGTGGCCACTGTGAATAAAAACATTTATGACAGTAAATTGATAATCCCTCAAGACAACTGCAAGACTGCAAAGCACTGACTCCCTAGACCTTTTGTATATATTCACTGCAAGACAGGCCTCCGTTATCTCAAGGAGAAACTCTACCACTGACCTTCATACCCTTAAAACGACGACCTGGGACCAGGACAATACTGTTACTACCATGAGACAAAGCACAACACTTTAATCTTTTTGGGCCACAAACAAGGAAGCTTCTTCTACTAAAATATGCTCAACAGTTGCCATTGCTGCTACTCCCCCTGTGTGTTTATTTCCAAGTCCTGAGAATCTTTCCTAAGGACCGCACATCTCCTGGTCTCAAGGACGAGGGAGTCACCTGAAGTCACTTTAAATCTTGGTTCCCCCCCCCTTTTTTTCAGCCCTGTAGCCTCTGAATGAACTGATCATCGTCCATTTTCAGAAGAAAAGAACATTGTTCACCAACAAAGGAAGAAGAATTTAAGTCATGTAAAGTCTTCTTTAAGTACAAAAAGGTCACCAGCTCTGGGGAGCAGTTTCATGGGCTTTAATGAAGACTCCAGTGTGTGGAAACAAAAGCGGACTGCATTAGGCCTGGATCCAATTGTATTTCTTTACCGGTAACAGCATACCTACCTTTTTTCCTCTTTGACTTTTGTTCTCAGAAAAGAAAAGAAGAGAAAAAGAAAAAAGAAAACAAAACCAGGTAATCAAAAAGAAGTCTTATAAGAGACATAGCTCTGGTTAAACTTTTCAACTTACTGAAGAAAACTCAGGGAATAGAAATACCAAAATGGTAGAGTGGACCATTTAAACCTACTTGGCTTTTGTTCTAATATAAATTTTTTTTAAAAAAATCTATTCACTATAAAAAAGGAATCTTTAATCATGATAAAGATGATAGCTGTTGATGCGCACCAACCCTCAGGGTGCCATCATAAATGTTGAATTTGCATGGAATTACTCTTCAACTGAAAACATTTTCTTTGTGCCAAAAGGACAGGGGCACTAGGTGTAAAGAATCCATCCAAAAGAGTTTTGAAATTCATTTTTCCAGATGCGCTGCGATAAGCAAGCCATACCCCGAGGACGGTCTCACCTAGAGGTTCTCTTCAAGGAGTGCATTTAACCACTTCGGGTTGGGAGCGTGGAAGTGCATTTCACCTCCCTGGTCTGCTGCAGGAGGTGACTTAGGACGTACCTTCATGGTTTGCTTATTGCTGAAATTTTGAATACCCATACAGGAGTCCCTTCTTAAGGACATAGAGTTTGTTTTAAAAGTGACTCCTATGCTCCTACTAGAGCCTTAATCCCTAACACCAAATTGATCCTGGAAGGTTCAAGAGGGGCAACGATCAGAAGACAGAAGACAGGGAAGCTTCCTTCTCCAGGCAGGGAGAAGACTTGGGTCTGATTCACCTACACCTCGCAATTGAGGGAAATCGCAGTCAGCTTCCCTTCCGCTGTACTGCTCCGCTCATCCTACTCGTTCTGCATCAGGGTATGGTGACACAAGCAAATCCGTCATGAATTCATTTCGGGGGAAAGACAGATGAATGATTTCTGAGTTATAGATCAGTAACCTTCAAATCATCTTGACGACGGGTTTTCTCTGTCTCTGGAGCCACTGAAACACGGTCAGAGAAAGGGCTCTGAGTTCCAGAAAGCAGTGTATCTGACACTGACCAGCCCATGACAAAGAAGCGAACCTGTCTCTAAAATGATTTTCCTTTAGTGCTGTGTTTTTCAAGTTTTGTTTTGCAAAAGAACCCTCCTGAAAAAATTCAGTCTTTCAGAGCTATCATACTGAACTGTGCAAATGAGAAACAAAACTGTAGGAGAATATATCTTTTGACTTTGCTCTTATTTATTCTCTTTGCTCAGGACTTTCGGGGATCCTTTTTTAGTGGGATACATAGAAAATGCATAAAAATCGAATCAGGAATGATTCAACTGTCAACAAATATTTACTGAAAAAAGATTTTTAGGGTCTGACAGTCCTGAGTTTGGACTCAACTCCTTACTAGCTGTTGGCCTGAAGGTAAGTTACAAACCTCTGCAGGTCTCCGTTTCCTTCCTGGGACATGGGGCCCTACCGACCCACCCTGCAGAGCTCAAGGGAAAGAGCAGCCTCACTGAGCTCATTTCTTGGTGCTGAGCTGGCCATGCGGGGCAGGATAGAGGGCAGTGTTGCAGACTGCAGGTGCAACCAACAGATCATGAAATCAATTTTGTGGCTCATGATCATCATTTTGTCTTTTATATGAACTAGAATAGAATGGATATAATAGAAAATATCAGAGCGCAGCACGGTGAGAGATGATGTTTTATGAGACTTTTGTTTCTGGGCATGTGTGTGCGCAGGGCCATGCACACGACCCACAGGGCATCGGGAAGCAAAACAGCGTTCCTCCTGTGGATCCCACAGGCCACTCCGTGTGCAGGAGGCTTGCGAGCTTCTGTGCTGACAGTCTCCCTGAATTAGCCTCAAAGCCTGGCTCTCCTGCCGTCTCGTGTCTCAGTTTTTAGCTCTTTCAAATGAGAGTGACAACAGAATTGAGCAAACTGTGACGTAAGAGGTGTCAGGGAAGAAAGCTAAGCCATGTGGAGGGTTCCACAGATGTGAGGGCTCCACAGATGTGAGGGTTCCACAGATGCAAGGGTTCCACAAATGTGAAGGTTCCACAGACGTGAACTGCCCTTGGGTAAGCTCTCCAAGGCTGCAACTAACACGCGAGCAATGAGAGGGAGAGGAGTCACCCTATCCTCCAGGAGAAAGCATGCCGCAAGGAATGTGGGCAGGCTGGGGACAACAGCCATGGGCTCCAGGGGCGGCTGCAAAGTATTAACAGGGTACTGAGGGAGTCAGGAAGTGGTGCTAGCCGGGGTGGGAGGAAGCCAGGAAGATAAAAGTGATGGTCTCTCCTATTGCTCCTTGTGGGAAAATATTTCATTTCTCTATTAGGCCTTATCCTAGAACTCCTAGTAAGTATGTATTTTGTTTGGGTTTGCTGCCTCACTATTTATACTTATATAAACAGTTTGGTTTAAAGAAAACCACCAAAGATTACAAAAAACAAAAGAGATCAATGAGCCAAGACCCGTTTTCACTTAAATAGCAATCATACCTCAAAGGGCAGCACCCTAACCTTTAATAAAGTTATTATTTTTCAAACATTTCTGAGAAGCAGGGACTGAGTTTTCACGGAGTTTATTCTTCATATCAAATCTGTGAGGCTGGTGATATAGCTAAGCGGCACAAGCACCTGCCTGGCAAGCACAAGGTCCTGAGTTCAATTCCCAGTACCAAAAAAAAAAAAAAAAAATCCATGCCCCAAATCTGTGAGGCAGGAATTACTAGTCCAGCTTAAGGGCGAGGCACTGACACTAGAGGGCAAGGTGACATCTTCAAGGTCACATGCCGGCAGAAAGCAGTGAGACAAAGTATGTGTTCATACTTAGTACATGCTATCAAAAGTCCACTCCAGCTGTCTCTTGAATGGCTTTCTGGACCTTTTATTCATCCCAAGTCTCCACACTACTGTATGTTTTCTGTATCAACTAACATTGCACCTTGGAGACAAAGGCATATACAGGCAAAATATAAAGGTTCCATGTTTACAATGCTTGGTGATCGTGATCTACATGGATACAAAGCTTAGCACTGTTTTTTAAGTACGTTCTCTGGAGTGGATACACAGAGCTTTTGCACAAAAGGAGGGTGGGAACTTATGGAACAGAACCAAAACCTGGTGATGTCAAGGTGTTCTTAGTCTTTGCTCAGATGTGCTTCCAAAACATTCCTGGCAGAGCCAAGAATCATCTAACGTTACTTCTTTATTTAGAGCTCTTTTATGTACACAGGCATACAACCATTTCTTATTAAGAAGCATTAAAAAGTAGCACAGGGCACGTTTCTAGATCCTTCCATTCAAAGATATGGAAGTATTTTACAGACAGGCCCACTGTTTCTGTTAAATAAACCTCCTTTGGCCCGTTTCTGAGATGAGTACAACCAAAAGATATAACTTGGGAATTTAAATTCTCTCCTCCTGTAACCACTAAGTCATGCTTCTAAAAGTCAGAGTGAATCTACGTGACGAAAACAATCTTTTCCTTTTTTTCCCCTGAAAGGGTTATCTTTTCTTCTGAATTGTGAAAAAATACACATTACTTGAAGTTTACCACCTTGACCATTTTTAAGTAGACAGTTCAGCGTATTAAACACATTCACATTATTTTTGTGCTCTTCACCACTATTTACAGGATTTCTTTTTCGTCTTACAATACTTAAGGATATGAAACTGAACCCATTAAACAAAACACGGTGTCTGCCTTTTCTCAGTTCCTGTCAAACACCATTCTGTTTCTGTGACTCTAAATACCTCGTATTAGTGGAACCATTCAGTATCTGTTATTTTGTGACTGGCTTATTTCTTTTAGCACAATGCCCGCAAAGTTTATCCATGCTGTAGCATGTATCAAAATTTCCTGCCTTTTTAATGCTGAGTAATTTTCCATGGTATGTAGAAACCACACTTTGCTTATCCAGTCACCTGTTCATGGACACTTGGGTAGCTCCCGCCACTTGGCTATTGTGAATAACGCCGCTATGAACATGGATGTACTACCCACTCAACGCTCAGCTTTTGATTCTTTGGGGCATATACTCTGAAGTACAATTGCTGGATCATGTAGTACCTCTCTCTTTGTGAGACGTTCCTCTTCCATTCTGCACAGTGGCTGTATAGTTTTTTTCCCCACCAGCAGAGCACAAGCTTTCTAATTTCTCCATATCCTCACCTACACATATTTTTTGTTTCTTGATAGTAGCCATTGTGAGGTGGTATCTCATTGTGGTTCTGAGTATCTTGATTTCAAAATTACTCAGAGTAATTCCAGTGTTTGAGAGGTCGATGGCAGGCCCACGTTCTCCTTTCCTTGGGGCGCCAAATTCTCAGCGCTTCCTAATAAGCAGTATTTCAAGGCTCTTTCTACCTGCGCACCCAGAGAGCACACTGGCCTGGCTCTTTTCTTCTGTGCCCTCTCTGTATTCCTCATCTCAGGAATAAATGTGCAGCTGTGTGTGTTCCTTACCTCCCTCAATGGTCAGAAGACTGTGGAGTGTAAAAAGCCCCAGAAACCCTACCTAGCAAGTCTGGAGTTGAGTATGTGCAAGTGTCAGGGAGGAGGGCAGAATGAAGATTTGAACCCCGAAGTGGCAGGCCCCAGGCCTGTGGGGACAGGCCCTGTGTTGTCCCTGGAGGACAGCAATTACTCAGTAAGTACTTTCTGGATTTAGGCTGAATAGAAGAACTGAGAGCAGTGACAGGATTCTCTATTGTGCACGTAATCCAATCTCTCGAACACTCCCCGCAAAGTCTTCTATTAAGAAGAAAACAAAATCAGAGCTCAAGAGGAGATGGCACTGCGCATTGATAGGTTCCCGCCCAGCCCGAACACAGCTTCCTCTTACCCTTCCCCAGCGCAAGCACAGGGCACGCCTGAGCCCGCCTCTCAAGCTCCGCCTTTAGCCAGAGTCCTCCTAAACCCCCCGCCTCTTTTGCTACCCCAGAGGAGCCGTGTGCTGCGTGCAGTCCTCTCCGGGACCTCTCCTGGTCCAGAGTAAACGCCTTCTTCCCCCTTTGTTTCTTCTTCTGCGCTGAAAACCTAACACACATCTCCACCACTGTGACAACAAGGTCAGAGGTCCACGAGAAGCACCCTACACACACAGCTCTCAAGAGGTGGTACCACTGGCTGATCAGTGAGGAAGAGAAAACAAGTGCAGAGAGCTGGAACTCCTTTGCCTAGTCTTCCTTGCTGGCCTCTACCGCCTGCTTCCCTGGCTAACATCAGGCATTAGTGCCTACACTGTAAAAATGTCTGTGAAGCATCCGTAAGCTCTGTAATTCTCACAGCCCCATGGTTTCACAGAAGGCCCTCCATGGAGATAATCGCCCTTGAAAGGGTAGCTTTACTTCCTACAGCAAAATTCCCTCATTAAGACACTTACACTCCAAGTTTCCCTGTAGAAACCTCTCAAGTGCTAAGCAAACCATTTATCATTCTGTCTTCAGAATTACGTGGTTATCAGTGGATCCAACTAAGGAACCTAGAGAAGTGGGGCCCAGAAATCTATCTGGGTAGGTAGCTACTCCTGAATCCGTCCTTTCTACCTCCCCCCGCCCAACACCATGAATAAACTCTAATATCCGATGAAAATACTTGCTAGAAACACCTATTAAAGTATGCTCTATTGGGGAAAGGATCAATCCAATTAAAAAAAGACCAATAAAATTAAAAGCAATTAAACTTAGGTGCCCATATAAAAGGAACATGTAGGAACACTCTGACTTGCATACCTGAGGAATGATTGACATTTTCTTCCTTAAATCATGAAGTCCAATTTCAGTTGTCAAGATCTTATCAATCCAAATTTTACCTTCAGGTTCTGACAATCTAAAAAGGGCTGAGATGAGGGAACTTTTTCCAGCTCCTGTTCTCCCCACAATTCCAACCTATAAAAGGATCCAAAAGGAGGGATTAGAAGTTAATAGTATGCAACAAACCTAGGAGAGTATTTCTGGCTTTTAGAGCGGACTGTGGATGTTTTATTCAGTGGCATCTACAGGTTTCTCAGTTGCAGCCCTGCTGAGCTTTGGGGCTGGGTAACTCCTTATGGTGGGGGCTATTCAGTGCCCTGTGGGATGTGCGTCAATAACCCTGGCCTCTACTTGCTAGATATGAGGAGCAGCCCCAAACTGTGACAACCTAAAAGGTCAGACAGGGACAAGTGTCCCTTCGGAGCAAAAGTGCCCCTGCTAAGATCCACTGGTCTACAGAAGAGTTAAAATAAGCCACCAATCTCCTAGGAGGGAAAAGCCAGCAGCCCCCTACGTGGTTTCAAGAAGCCAGCTTTTAAGTGAGCTTTACCTCCAAGACGCAAGTATTCTGAGCTTTGAGAATTTCTTGGATAATGTCACAGAGACGTTAACAACCCAAGGCAGAAGTGTTATATATAAACAAGTACTAATTTTTCTGGAGTCCTGTCATTTAAGATAAATTACTCATGGTAGAGAAACTAAATCTTGTTATGTTCTTCTGCCTCAAAAGGAAATACCTTAAAATTTCAGAATCCAGGGTCCCCATGTCTTAAAAGACAGTAACCAGCAGCCAAATCGTATGTAACAAGATCATCAACAACAACAACAAAAATAACACTTGCTGTTTATACGGGGCCTTTCATCTGAGCAGTTCAAAAGGCATTCTACAAACCAATTAATACCTGTAATTGCCCCGGGAAAGACTCATGTCAAATATGATTCCTCTTATGAAAGCCAAAGCTGAAGAGAAATGATGTGCACGGACAATAAGATCAAAGAAACAATAGAATGTAGGTAAAATGCTGGCCAGGAAGGAAGCTCTATGGTAAAAGTGGGCTTCTGAGAAGTGTGTGTCTAAGCCTGTATTCAGGAAGCTGGCCTTTTTACCAACGAGCCTCCTCAACTGAAAATTTCCTGGGGAGGGAGAGCTTCCCACAAGGTGACAGCATCCTTATTTAAAAATCTGGAATCAGTGAAGGGCATAAGACCTGTCTTGAACCATTTTTGTCAATTAATTCAGTAAAATTTAAAAATTCACTGATTTGAACAGTGAGGAACTGAATTTTGCCATGCTCTGATTATAGGCTGAGAATTTTACATGTAATCTCACTGGAATCCTTTCAAATAAAAAATCCATAAAATCAACAATAGCATTTCAAAAATTATCTTTATAGAGGTAAAATGCAAGAAGTGGCTTTATCTAATTTTAAAAATTCTTTATAGCCATAATCTACCTCATAGGAGTCCTAATGTGCATTGTATAGCTGGAACCGCTTTCTGCACCTGGGTATGTATGTCCCAGCACATACGCATGTGGCTCACGTGTGTTTCTGTCTCCCGCGGGCCTTCTCATATGTAAACAGCTCTGCATCAAGACACAGGCAGATGCTATGTTCGTGAGACATTTGCACACTCAGAACTCACATGCTATTAGCTCCATGGAAAACTAATATTGCTCAAACCCAAACCCTTGTAGACTATTAGTAAATAGCCAGATGAGCCCTTCCAGGCAGGGGATACAGAGAGCTGTATATAACCACAAGACTGTGAGCTACAGGTTCAAGTGAAGATAATTAAAAGTCAACTAAAAAAAAAACAGGTTTCTCTCTGTTACTCAAAGTCATCGAAACTATGGTCTGATGGCCTCAAAAAGGGCTTAGTGGGCTGTTGAGCGTTCAGACCAGGTTTATGAGTGCAGATCTTCCCTTGCATAGGCTTGGTCTTCCCTTGGAGGGTCCTGGAAGTAAGATAGGTATTCATTCAAATGCCCAATATTATGGATTGAAATGTGCCCTCCCAAAATCCTCAGTGTAAATACATTAGGAATCAGGGACTTCAAGGAAATAATTAAAGTCAGTCAAGTCATAGGGTGGCTCCCTAATCCCACAGGTCTGGTATCTTTAAAATAAGAGACACTAGTGATCTCGCTCACCCTTTATGCACGCAGAAAGGCCATACAAGGAGACAGTGAGGACATGACCATCTGTGAGCCCTGCTAGGTCACACCTGGAAGCCAATCCTGGTGGCAAGCTGATATTGAAAGTCCGCCTCCAGAACTGTCAGAGAACTTTTTTTTTTCAAAAACACGAAACAAGGCAAAAACAAAAACCTATGTTTGAAAGATTATCACAGGTCACCAGATGCCAGAGGAGGAAATCACTAATAGCAGTTCATGCCTCCAGAGAGACACAATGAGATACAGTAGTCTTGTTTTAATCACTTTGTAATGGTCCCTTTATGTTTTCCCTGGTGGGCGAAGGTTGTTGCATCAACATATCAGATATTTGCACTTGGATCTCTCTCCATCCATCAAATTCAACACAATCAAGACCCAGCATCTCACTCATACAGCTGCAGCTCCAGATGTTCCCACTGGGATCTCTGAACTTCTAACACCCACCATGCTTCCAGAGTCCTCCAACAGCAGCCTGGTGGCCAGCCCTGAAGACTCTATGCTTGTTTCCTGACTCAATGCCCTCATTTTAATTAGAGCAGCTATCACCTGAGTGTGAGGCTTTTAAAAACAAAATAAACCAAACACTTCCTAATTATAATCAGTGAAAATCAATTTGAAAAGTATATGAATATTAGCCATAACTCTAGCACTCTGATAGAACCATTCCTCTTATCAGGCTGTACTGTGGGTGTATGTGTATGTGTTCCCAAAGTTACAAAAAATGAGATTAGTACGAATATATTGCTACCCTCTGTTTTCATGTACTATATCATAAAAACTTAAGGGCCATATAATATTTCAGTATACATGATCATTTATTTAACAAACTCCCTATTGGTGAATATTCAAGCTAATATTTTGCTATTATAAATAACACCATGTTAAATATCCTTGAAGCTAAATGTTTCCAGCCTTAATTATTTCCCTAAGGGGCTGGGGATCTAGCTCAGTGGCACAAGTGCCTGCCTGGAAAGTGCAAGGTCCTGAGTTCAATTCCTGGCACCAAAAAAAATTATTTCCCTAGGATCAATTTTTAGATATGGAGCTGCTGAATGAATGGATACTAGCATCTTCACAGGCGGCTGGTAGGTGCCGCCAACTCACCATTCAGACAGAAAGTTCTCTCCCTCACCCCCCGGCTCCCTGCTCATTGGCCAACCTACACATTACAACTTTCCCTGAACCCACATTAGCTTTCCCTGAGTCCACCTCCCCAAGAGTATAATCAGTTTCCCCACTACGTGTCGCTAGACCAGCGTGAGGGCTGCTGGCTTCTGCTTCCTGCGCCTTCCGGCTGGGAACTCAGGCTCCATTTGTGAGGTACAGCTCCGTACCTGGCGCTCCACACCAAGAACCACACTACAAAACACTCCCAACCAACGTTTCCATCCTGACCTACAAGAGTGCTTCCTGCAGGCCCCTGCATTATTGTGAGGCCTGAACCTGAAAATGTGATCACGCACCTCATAGGTGCTCCCCACCCCTGCCCCCATGTCCCATGAAAGTGCCTCAGCCTTCATCCACAGGGACTCCTGGCCTTATGCTCACCATGAGGCGGTCCCTCACCTGGATGCCTTTCACCTGCATCTCCTCCCACTGAAATCCTAGCCACCATCTTCAAGTTTGTTTCAAATGATGAATCCCACCTAAATATTCTACCTGTCTCCTCATGTGGACAACTTTTACCTCTGACAGATGTTATATCTCCTCTCCTAAATATTTATAAACTGTGACCATTTTCTGTCTTACAGAGTAGCCATCCCATCCCCTCTTCTTTCTTTTTCTTTTCTCTTCCAGACAATCTTGCTAAACCACTAAGTTGCCCAGGCAAGGCTCAAACTTGTGATCCTCCTGTCTCAGCCTCCCAGAATCCTGGATGCAGGCGTGCGCCGCCACTCCCAGCTGCTGTATGGTTTCTTCCGCTGGATTATGTGTGCCAAGGAAAGGATCCATGTGGACTCGTGTGTTTCTCCATTTGTATTAGCTATGGTGTCCTGTGAAAAACAGGAGTTCTGTAGGGAGCTGAAAGTTTAACTCATGCTTGAGAAAGTTTTGGAATTAGCACCAGATTGTTCAGGCATACAGTAAACAAGTAGGAGAAGACAGATATGGCAGATGACTCCCAGAACCATATAAACAGGGCAGCCACCTCATTTTCATGGGGCAGACAACAAGCTATGCCTTGTAAGTGGTTAAGTTCATCTTACACCCCAGGATAATGACAGCAACCTTTAATCAAGGTGTCAGTCTCTATAGTACTCGGTGTGAGGTCCCATTACTTCCATTTTACTAGGAAAAAAAAAAAAAAAAAGAGGCTTAGTAAGCTTAATGAACCTTCATGAAATAACCTGAGTCCCACTAGAACTAAGATTGGGTGGATCCTGCCTGCTATAGTCAGGCCTCCCTCTGGCTCTGATGGCCCAGCACCAGATTCCCTAGGGTGGAGAGGGCAGAGAGGTGTGGCCTCCATGCAGACCTGTTTCCAGGCGTGCAGAGTGTGCTGGTGCTGAGGATGCAGGTGAGTGCGATGGCAGGGGCGGGAGAAGAATGTACAGACTGAGGTTGTCCTCAGCAGGGGCTGGTGCCCACAGTGCAGGCTGGGGAGAAACCAGCCATTGGGGACCACAGGTCACCTGGGTGGTGAGACAGACCTACCTCCCTGTTGGGGCAGTGAAGCTACTTTCTTATGTCCTCAGGCAGTAGAAGGAGCCCAAGACCTGGCAGTGCTTGAGCAGGGCACTGTGAGATACAGACCCAGGGACAGCCGCATGGGGACGGCAGATCAGATGCAGAGCTCTGCAGCAGGAGACAGGCTGGACCGGAAAGAGGCGCATAAATGCACACACCTGGGACCATGCAGAATTAAACCCTAACATAAACTCAGGACTTGCAGGATATAAAGTTAAATAAAATCTGCATGGCGGTAAGTGAGCCAGGACTTTCTAGAGTCTCCTGATCAATTCTGATAGATGCTGGGGTAACCCAGAGGCTTGATTTCAAGGTGTTGAAGGAAGTTTCTTGGAAATCATGGGTTACTGGTCATGAAAAATTGCTGGTGGGAGAGAAGACTCCACGGGGGTCCCAAGCAAATGGGATTCTGGCTGCAAAGGGCTGGGGGTCTGAGTGTCTGCATTTCTGAGAGGTTCCCAGCAGAGGCAGATGTGCTAAAGCAGCAAGGATTGGGGAGCAGGCTCTGGGAATTGGGGACACCAGGCATGAGAGGAAGGCTCTCTGAGAAAACATTATGTAAAAAGGGAGAAAAATGTAGGAAACTAATATTTTTGCACATTATAGCAAGGTCTAGTACACATCTGTAAAAATGTATTATCGAAGTAATAGCTCTGAGCAAGAAAAAAAAAATAGCAAACCAAAATCAATCTACCTCTAGAGCTGGAAAATGCTTTAAAATGGCCCAGTACTTTCTCAAATGATCAAATCAACCACAAAATCATCTAAATGAAAAAATGCAGCCAGTGTTTAAAATCTAACCTAGAAGCCTAGGGTGGTATTTACCTCATTTTTATTCTTTATTTTTACTTGCTATAGCTTCCCTACATTAGCAACCTGCTTAGTGCCAATTACATTTTCCTATTTACTGTAACTTCTAGGAATCTCAGCCCAGGAAACTGTTGAAAGAAATAAAGCTCCTTTTCTGCTGCACCGGCACATTCCCGTGTCCTCCCTGAACACTGCCTCTTCCGATCAAATCCGACACTTAAGGGGTGGCTGCAAACCAGGGGCTGGACGCAGGGGTGTGGGAGATGACACCCCCGAGTCACAGGCAGAGGGGAGTCATCCCATGAGGACAGGCCCTGGACATAATTCCCTAACTACTGGGTAGTTTAAGACACACATCAATATTCAAGTTATCATAGATGTTAAAATGCAGTCTTCAAATTTGATTTAACTTCAAACATTTTAGCATCTTGAGTAATCGTGTCCCCATGATTTGGGGATTTTAAGATTGAAGAATCTTTTTTTTAAAAAAAAAGACTTAATAATCTGGGGACATATGGATTTCTAACGTGTTCAAAGTTTCTTTGATAATTTGTATTTTGTGGCTTCCCAGGGCACTTGAGGCGTATACAAATTAACAGAACGACAACAGCATCATCAGATCTGATACACCATCTGCAAATAAGCGAACGTCCCCACAGAATTCGAGAGACTGGTGCTCGTCAGAGCTACAGCTCATGTTTTGCCCACACAGTTGTCCTCACCATCTTCAGACCTACCAGGAAGCTGTGGAAATAATTAGGAGCTTGCTTTTGCCAGATGGTTTACTAAAGCTGTTCTCTGTGTACCCTTTGGGCACCAACTGGTACGTTCATTCTTTCATGTCACAAGGGTATCGCTCATTACATCACGGCTGCGATTAGGCCATTAAACGGGCCTGAGGTGGAAAGTTTAAACAAGCAGCTCCTGAAGTATTTAGCACTGCGGGGGCGGGAGGTACAGCTCAAGGGTAGAGCTCTTGGTGCGTGCTCTGAGCTGGATGCCCAGTCCTGGAAGAAAGAAAGGAAAAGGAAGAGGAGGAGGAAGAGGAAAAAGAAAAAGCGCTTCACACTCCCGTCCAGGGAACAAGCCATGCAGAGCTGCCTTGTGCACGTGCTTTGTCACAGGTGTCTTCTACTTGGGTGTTACTGGTGCTCACAGCCAGCTGTCTTCCCACAGCACTCACCATCTTCCCCACAGGGAAGAGGAGGAATAGAAAATACTCCCAACCTTAGGAAGCCTCAAGGTACGGCAAGATACAAATCCGGAATACAAATCACACTATGATATTCTCTTTTCTGTGACTTTTGTTTGTTTTTTTGAGACAGGATCATGTAGTTCAGGCTGGCCTTGAGCTCGCTAGGTAGTCCAGACTGGTTCCAAACTTGTGAAGAGCCTCCTGCCTCAGCCTCCCCAATGCTTGGATTACAGGCATGCGCCACCATGCCCCACAGAGTTTTTTAAAAATTGTTGTAAAGTGACCCAAAATTCACCACCATAACCATTTCTAAGGTGCATTAATTATGGTCACACTGCAGTGCAACCTTCACTACCATCCACTTTCAGAGCTCTTCTCATCTTGCAAAACTGGAACTCTGTACCATTAACATGCTCAGGGCGGGGCTAGGATTCATACATCTCCCTGCTGGGCGGCTCTGAACTACTGGAGGTACACGCATGACCGTCCCATCAGGCGGCGTGGGGTAGTCCCATCTGCTGGTACCAGATGCTCCACGGCAGAATCATGCACGTAACACCAGTGGTTCAAGCTGGCAGGAACACGTTAAACAAACAACAGTGGAGCTCCCACTCCCTGCCCCCCCCCAGCCTCTGGCAACTACCCTCGTGCTTTGTGTTCCTAAGATCTGGGCTACTCCCGGCACGCACATGAGTGGACTCATACTGTGTCTGTCCTGTGTCTGGCTTTCCTCACTCAGCACTATGTCCTCAATCCCATCCATGCTGTAGCATGAGCTGGAATTTCCTTCCTTGTTAAGACTAAATAACATTCCACTGGGTCTATACACATCTGGCTCATCCACTCAGCTGTCAATGGATACTTAAGCAGCTGCCACCTTTCAGTAATTATGAGTAACACTGCCATGAACTTGTGTGTATCACAGACGTGGTCTTCAGGTGTCTAGAAGATGGTATAGAAGAACAGATGCTTTCAGAGATGCGGAGATATTTGCACTGATGCTGAAAATGAGGAGACTTTCTGCACCCAAACAACAGCAGGAAAGGGGCCCCAAAGCCAGGAGCGGGCGTGCATGAGCGACTGGGAGGACAGGCAGTCTGGGAGAACAAGGAACACGTTGGCGTGGGGGTTGTGGCCATGTTGGGAGTCAAGGCCTCTGGCGGACTTCCCACTGCTTGCTTCATTCTGGGTTAGTCTCACCAGGAGCCTGCCCCAGGGAGGGAAGGAACACTGCAGGTGGTACACATGCTGAGAGATCCAGGCCCCACGCCTCCCTGTAATCTCACACCCCTCCTTTCATGGGTCGGAGCGAGGCTCTGGGCCCTATGCTGCCTGTGGCTCGGGGCTCTGCAGGAGCCCTGACAGGGCTGTGGCTCTTGCGCTCTTTCCTGGTGGTTGAGAACTGGCCATGTAGCCCTGGCCAGAGAGGCCTGGGCCTGGGGTCTGGACAAGGTCACAGCAGTGGCTCACCTTGTGCAGGAGCCAGGAGGAAGCCACGTGAGCACCAGCTCTGTATTCTGGGAGGAAACAGGAGGCCATGGGAGGCCAGCAGAGCAAAAGCAAAGCATAGGTGAGAAGAAGGCATCACAGACGAAGGAGAAGAACAAGGGATGGCAGACAAAACCATCTGAGCAACACAAGGAGCGAAGCCGGCCAGGAACCGGATACAGGAGCCTCAGTGACAAGGAGGCAGGGCTGACTTTCTAGATGCAACCATGAATAATAAGATGTTCAAAAATAGTACCCCGAGTAGCCTGAGTCAGGTTAAACCCTAATCCTGATGTCCAGGGCCCACCAGCCGCCACGGGGCAGCTCTCTGCAACAAGAAGGAAATGTTGGCCTCCTCACTCTACCGTCTCTCTCCAAGGAAGACTCATCTCCGTCATCGACGATCTCCCTGTACCCACAGACAGACAACAGGTCCACCAGAACACCAACAAGCAGATGTAGCATTAAATCTTCTATTTTACCTGAAGCTCAGAAGAAGCAAAATTCTTCAAACCAACCTTTTCTGTTGACTTAATGAGTGCTGTCAGGTGCTTTAATACCACAGGCCCATCTAAGCTGTACGTAAAGCTCATGTTATCAAAAACGATCACTCCTTCAGGAGGCCAGCCTTGTGGCGGGCGTTTCTGATACTCCCAAGGCGCTTCTTTTTCTAGGTCTGTGTATTCAATCACTCTCTCCACTGAAATCATCTGAAAGAAACACAGCACCCACACAGGTTACGTTGGAGAGCCTTGTATATGGGTGTCCGAGATGCTCATGCAGTGCTCTGGTCAAGGGTAACCCACACACCGCTGGGCAAGGATAACCCAGATCTAACATTTAAAGATGAGGGAAGATCTCAATGCTTTGCTATTGTGTTCGACATCGTGTCACTCCTTCACTTATGACCAATTCCTTCAATATTCTAATGCTGAATACAAAGGGGATTTTGCAAAAGCAAAGAATATTTATGGCCTCCCATCGAGGATCTTCTGCAGCCACTGACTATCCATCAGTTAAATCAGATAGTCATCAAACCTCATCATAATAACTCTGCTCTATGGGAAGAGTGAAATGGAAATATTTCACGTTCACTGTTTATCTCTCTCTAGGAGAAAGTGTATATATTTAAAAGAGGAGGTTATTTGTGCATTGATTAAGCCACTCCTAAACAAACAAGAAGGGCCAGTTCCTTGGAGGAGCACCCTAGAGAGATGGCTATCCCTACTAGGAAGAAGCATCAGCAAATTCTGGGCTTTTTGCCTTCTGCTCTTCACATAGGAGAAGAAATGCTAAAACTATAAGGGTGGGTGGGTGGGAGTGGGGGAGACCTATTAATTAAACAAACAAACAACTTCAAAATATTGAATTCTTCTTTTACCAAGAATGAGGAATTACCCATTAAGAAACAAAAATAAACAGGCCTCTAAGAAATTAGCTTATATCCTCTCTAGGATTTCAGAACTTCCCTCCTACAGAGACATTTATTACATCTGAAGACAGCTTGTGATGAATATAAAACCTGCTGACATAGCATACATGAGACTGAGAAAAAGATGTATATATTTTATTTTACATTAACTTTAAACAGATGGAGGGAGGATTTTTTAAAAACTCTGTTAGCTGCGATTAAAAATAACAGTTTTAATATTTTACATAAGAACTGCTTTTATGCCATTTAATGGCAGAGAGACTTGAAAAGGCCAAGAACGTTCTGGTAAACATTACCATATTCTCCACTTCGGCGCTTTGTCTAACAGACCACTGGAACATCCCCATGAGGGTGAGGGCGTAGGACAAGGCCAAGCCAACCTGCCCAGCATCCAAATCTACACAGACAGGGAGGAGAAAACAAAGTGAATCTCAGTTTTAGCATGGGCCCAGCACTCTGGCACTCTACCAACAGGACTGAGCAAGTTGCATATCACGATAGTAACAGTTACACTTCTACTGTCGACTGAGATCATGACACAATTTTAAAAACCCATATACTTTCAGAAATCTCACTAAAAGAGTTTATTAATTCCAATAGCATCAGCATAGGTTTGAAAAAAACAGCATTAGATACAAGAGGAATAATGTCATTAAGCAGACATACATCATTACAGCTTTGCAACCCATTATGTAATCCCACATTTTCTACGTCCAAGGCAACCACAGTTGGAAACCACTAAAAACAAGGCAATGGGCGCTAAGAGACAATGCTTTGCACAGTAAAATACTACTCTCATTGTTCTAGTATTAAATACCACAATTCAGTGGTGTCACTATGGAAGTTAGGGACGGCGAATTCACGCCACACACGTCAGCCTCTGCTTGTTTGGTCCCCACCCGGCAATGACGACAATGCTCTTTCCTGCTGAGATTCTTTCTCAATCTCGTGCATAGGCAACTCCACCACTAATCTAAGGAGCCCAAATGCTAACTTAAAGCCCTAAGGACAAAATGCTTAAGAGAAATCTCATTTATTTCCTCAGAGCTACCATATGTAACCAGGACTTTCCAGTATGTCATTTGCACAGATCTCAAGCCATTTGAAGGAAGATAAAAGGGAAGCATCAAGACCCAATGACTCCTCTAAATGGGTCACACTCTGGAATCACATCCATGCTGACACGCTGTAAATGCTTTAATACACTTCATTAGAATGAAACAGTATATACCATTAGACAAGGTGGCAAGAGTTTAATTTAATAACTGTAAACACAGCTATAAATTGTAATCATACCATAAATAGTTATTCACATCTGCACTTACTCTGTGCCAAAATCAGGGACCCGAAGGTAATAACGATGACAAAGATGGCACAGATGGCATCCAGACGCACGGCGAACCATCGCGACGTCGTCAAAAACAAGAACCAAGACTCTGTATTAGGGAACCAGAACAAGCAGGATGCATAAGTACAAAAACCACATGAACTGCAGTGAACGTGAGCGGCATTACAATGCCAACCGAGTAGCACAGAAGAGCCACACACCCAAGGAACCCGAAGGTTCCAAAAAGCTGGACAATGCATGCATGGTCCCCACACAAAACTGTGCAGCGGCTCTGCAAACAGGTGCACTGAGACATGGGACTCAGAGATGATAAGCAGAAACACAATAATAATAATAATAATAATAATAATAAAGCCATGGACAAAATGGTCTTGCAGGGCCAGGCTATCATGTGAAGTTCACCAGCTCACATATGGAGGGTTCTCGGTTCAGTAGCAGACAGCGCAGCTCACCATCTATTCTACCACCTTCCGTACTTAGAGGGACCTGCACACGGGTCAGATGCTTTGGAGCTGCACATGAATGACCACCTTCCTAAAAGGATCTGCAGGTGGTTTATAAAGTAGCACGTAGGCCTCAAAACAATACAGATTGGAAAGATGGGCCAGGATTTTGTATATTCAGATGACAACAATGAACACTGTATATTCAGAGGACACTTGGAAATGTATAAGTGGAAAAACGCTTCACTGATACGAAGAATAATACGCATCAAGCAGGCAGACGATCAGTTAAACAGAACACTGATTTTGTCAGTTCAGAAACCTCGTATGTTCTAAAGTCTAAATCAAGGGTCAGTAACCCACAGCCTGGGGGTCAAGACATGCTCGTCACCTGTTTAGCAGAAGTTTGATGGGAGCGTGGCCAGTGAGTGACATAGTGTCTACACTTGCTTCTGTGTTAGGGCAGCACAGGGAGGAGCAGCTGCAGGGACTATGTGGCACACATTTGCTAGGTAGCCTTTTGTAAAAAAGAAAAAGAAAAAACGTATTTGCTGACCCCTGCCCTAAAGGGACAGAGAGCCACAGGGCACTGAGATGGAAGCACCATGCAAGCTGGGCAGAGGTAACGCGGGAAAGTACAAAGGGATGCCATGAGGAGTTAAAGCCCAAGGGCAGAAGGACAGGAAGATCAGCAAAGGTGAACTTGGGCAGTGCCTGCAGCAGGAAGAGATGCTACCTGCGGAGCAAGCAGTAGATGCCGGGCTCTGACACATACAGACGCATACAGACCTGAGTGTAAGTCCTGGTGTGCATCGAACAGCTCCTGACACCTCTCTTCAGCCCTGTATGCCCGGATGGTCCAGAGTCCCTGGAGGGAAGAGGATAAGTGGGAAAAGACCGGACTCCGTGCTGCAGAAACACAGACAGACACAAAAGAGAGGAAGCTTGGTGAGGCTGGGTGCAAGAAACCAGCTGCCTGCTGTGCTCCGTGATCACACATCCCACCGAGGGGGAAGCTAGGGGTGCCGAGTTTCCAGACAAAATACTACCAGCAACCGGGAGAGGACCCTGGATACCCACACTCAGTCCCCGCACAAAGCCTGCCTCATTGTAAGGACCAGGAAACTAAAGTCCTCATTCTACCCACCTTGGCCCTAATCCAATTCATTCTCTTTGCTAACTCATTCTTCAGGGTCCTCTCCTCCATATTCTTCTGGACATCCCTTTGAGCAGAAATTACTTTTCACTGATTTTTAAGCCAGTAACATCATCATTATTATTATTACTATTTTTCAATTCTGTTAAGAACACTCACCATGATGAATTATGATGATCTATTTAGGGGCCAGGGCATAGCTATGGTAGGCCAGAAACTAGAACAGCACCTGGCACAGGACAGATCCTGGCAAGTAGGTTCAATGGACAGTGTGTCACCTCCTTGCACCCTGGGGAATCTTCCTCTGTCAAGGAAGAGTCTTTTATGGTCACTGTGTACCTGGGAGCCACACTGCACTTGTGCCCACAGAACCTGCTTGGCCACAGGTCTTTAACGGGTCTTGACCTCAGCTGTAGGACCACGAAGGACGCTTTCGTAACTACCAGACCAGAAACCCATCCTCATGTTTGGAGGTCACTGTGCCACGTGACCTCCAAATCCAACTGTGGTCTTCGTGGCTTTCTCATCTTGACAGAATTTAGAAAGGTGAAGTCCCCGTGTGTATCTTCGTTTTGATTTGGCACGTGTGCCCCATGACTGGCCGTGTGTTTTGAGCACACTGTATCATGACAACAGGCCAAGGCCCACCCCCACCCCACCCCCAACAGGACACATGGGCTGCCCGCTGCCTGACAGGATGGTTTCGATAGTCTCCCCTCTGCACTGTGAACAGGGCTGTGCTGGGCTAGATGGACCAAGGCTAGTATCCAGCATGCAGTCTTTACCATGTCTGGGGTGAACCACTTGTGCTTTATGGGTAGGAGATACTGACAGATCACTTTGTTACCTGTCCACATCCTAGAGAAGTCCTGTCGGTAAAACATGGAGCAATTAGAAGTTAAGCCCATTCACCTTACAAGAGGCTGTGTAGATTTCATAAGAAGACAAGGGGGTAAAAATCAAGGGAAAAAGCTCAAAGTTATTCTGTAAGGCATCCAAGTGCTTAACTGTATGACAGTGTGATCCAATGTGGATGTTTCCACTGCGTCTGTCCGTGGCTGCTGTGCATGTTTTGGGGGGCTGGGGTACATGTGCACCAAGACACAGGGCTGCCTCATAAATCAGTCCATAGTTGTACAAGCAAGGAGAAAGGGGGCTTCTAAGTATGCATGACACTCAGGTCAGAGAAGGTGCAACACCTTAGCCATGGTCCTGCTGACCGCCCATTCCTCCCTGGGGCTCTTTCTGACCAGGATATATCTTTTAATTGTTACTTATTTAACTCTGTGCTTTTAAGATGGAAATGGGACCGAGCTCATGCTCCAAGTAGGAAAGGTGGGAGCCTCTCACAGGCTGTTCCTGAAGACTTCAGTAAATATTCCAACCTGCCCCAGAACTCAGCCACTCTGCAGACAGGATGCTCCCGGGGATGACCAACCTAGGATTCCACATGCCCATGCCCTACCAAGAGTATGCCAAAGGTTTGGCTCCAGAGAACCCAGAACACTCATTAGAACCAGGTGCCCTCCTCTACAGAACCAGGTGGCGTCATGACAAGAACACTATTTCATCAGAGAAGATCACTCTGAGAAGGAGACAGGTGTGGTGCTTACCAAGCAGGGTCCTCAAAGGAAGCTTTCAGTTTGGCCATCCTTGCCTGCATCCCCTATCAGGAGACCAAAGTCACCAGTGGCTCTCTCAGGCTGAGCTTAAGAGCAGGGTCCACCTTACAGTTGCATCCCAGCCGTGACGACCAGGAAAGTCAAGGCCAAGTCACATCCTTGACATTACCTGAGAGTTGCTGAGGTACAGCAGGAATTTGCACCCATGAGAGATAATCCTGCTTCTTTCACACCCTACAAAGGGCTGTGTGCAATATCAGGGAGGGTGCACTGAATGGTCTGCAAAGACCATTAACTAGTCCCAGGGGACAGCATGTGGCCAGGCTCCAGGTTATCTTGCCTTTTTCCTACACAGATCTGAAAAGCTAGCCTGAAACAGAGTGTGTAATACCATGACATTGGTATAACCCTATACTTCACTAGACCCACAGCTGTGCTTTCTGCAACCCCAACCCTTCTTCTAGACACACCCTGAAGAACTGAGGATATTTTCAGGGAAAGAACAGGACAGAGATCTTAGCATTAACACTGTGGGAGACCGTCTGATTATTACATTTTTAATTCCCTTATGTGTGAGGTTCTAGTACTTTTGGTAGTGGCCAGCAAGCACTTTCCAGGCACTGTCTCAAGCAATCCTCAGGAGAGCTCCACAGGGAAGGTATGATTACAGCCTTAACAAAGGAAAATGGACCTGAAGCATTAACTGCATTGCCCAGGATTAAAGAAATTATTCCATGTAGTACAGTTGGGTCCCAGACCCAACTCTTATTCCCAAGGCTGTGCTTTTAATCTGAGTCAGAGTCTCAAGGGGCCAATAATTAAGAGTTATAGTGCTCATGTATTATTAGATGCAACTCTAGACTTTGTAGCTTTACACATATCTTTCTCTAGACTTTGTACCTCGTGGTTAGAAAACTCCCAACTCTTACTTTACTAATACCCATTAGGTTTCTCTACACTGAACAACAGCCCTGGAAATCTAGCATGGGAACTCTTTAAAATGGCAACTTCGAGGATCTATGGTCTGAAAACAAGAAGCACGTGTTAATGCTCCGCTCGCAAATGGGTGCCTGTGGCAGACATTACTAATGGATCACAGAATCATTGTGGAGAGAATGCAGACACAGCTCACAAACCAGGCACTGTCAGACACAGAGTTGACTAGAGAAATGTACCCAAATGCCATCCGGGTTTTATGCGCCTCTGTATGACTGCTGCTACATTTTTCTTTCAAAAAATAAAAATCATTATGGTCAGCTATTATTAAAAGTGCTTAAATATCAGTCTCTGCTTCCAAAAGCAGCTAGGCAGTAGGATCTGAAAAGAGATCCTGGGCTCTTGAAGTTCCTCAGAGCACAAGGATGAAGTAGTCTATGCCTCTTGCCACAGCCATCAGGCAGCCTTCTTTTTGCTGGTGACTGTATCAATGGCCGCAAAAATCACTACCAATTGTTGCTTCGATAAAACAGTAGAGCTGTTATGACACAAACTCATACCCAGATGAATGACGGTAAATGGTCCATTTGGTTATCTGGGGATGCAGAGAAGGGAATATCCATATTTAATTCCTTGTCACAGTCAACAAGGGTACAGAAAAACCCAAATTCTCCACAGGGGCCATGACAAAGTTCTAAGATTCTCCACATAAAAAAAAATTATGCCAAGGTTTAGGTTACACTCTGGGACTCGGGAAAGAAAATTCTACCTGCTTCTTACAAAAAGTTTTAATTTTTTTGTTTTTTTTTGAGACAGGGTCTCACTGTGCAGTTCAGACTGGCCTCAAACTCACTATGTAGCTCAAGTTGGCCTCAAATTCACAGCAATCCTCTTGCCTCAGCCTCCAGAGTTCTGGGATTACAGGTGTGCACCACCACACCTGGCTTGCAAAAGGCTTTAGGTCCTTTCCACTTCTACATGGATGGGAAGTGACTCTTGCCACAGATAAAAATATATGTCAAGGCGTTCCTTCTGGAATGAACAACCATCCTCAAATATACTTAAAGCTTCCTTTGCAGCAAGACTGTTGAGTAACTCCACTCCACAACTCATAAAACATCTAAAAGCTTGTATCTGTACAGAAAAACCTGAGGCTAATAAAATGCACAAAGGAGGGTCTCTGGCAATGACTCCTGCCTGAGTCCTGTCACTGTCACACAAGTTGCATCAGCAGAAAGCTACACACATGCGAACCTCACCACTCTGCCTACCACGGCAACACCTCCCGTGGTGCCGCATAGTAGTTTAGCAGGTCCTCCGGATGACTGGAAAACTTCCTTTGCTCCGGTCCATATAGACAGTTATGACAAATGGCTCATAAGCATTTATAATTAAGAGCGAGACACTTACGCCATGAGAAAAGAACTGCTCTGTCCTGATGAGTTTATATTTTTTTTCTAGACTCGGGGGACTCCTAATTTTTCTCTTCTTGGTTTGGTTTTCACAAACATGAGTTGGCATTCAATTGCACAAACTATTCACCATAGAGGTTTTCTGGTGGAAGATCTTCCTTTTCTACTTTTTGGCGATGGTGCTTAAAGCTTTTTTAGAAATTAACAATTTTACCCTCCTTATGGTTTTAAATTTTAATAATAATGAAATATGCTAGTTTGCACATTCATAAGGAGTTGAGCTCTGGATTAATTCATCCTCTGTGATTATGTGCAGAATACAATGATTAATCATAAGACATTTTTCCCATTATGCCCAAACTAGAAAGTTAAATAGAGCAATAAATAGACTAAATGCATTCTAAACTTTCCTTCTGATTTTTCAGTATCCATGTATATTAACAGCCTAGGTAAAAAACTCAAACCATGAGGCATTTACACCAAGCACCACTGACAATCAGGAGCAAAATTAAAAATAATCATGCTTATGTTTCCAAAGCACTTAGCAACTGCAGCTTACTAGCAATAAATAACAATTCTATTTTTCAAATACCTTACTTCTGACATATATTTCCCACACCCTTACCTTTCCTTTCTTTACTCTTTTCCTTTTCTTGTCATTTCCAGTATCTTCAGGGAAGGAAAAAGTCCTTGTTTTTTTTTTCTAAATTAGTTCAACACATGATGAGATGTTTTATTTGAAAAATGCTTACTGAGTGCCTGACCTGTGCATGCAGGGAAGTATGTCAGGAGCAAGACAGAGATGGTCTCTGTCTGTGGCGAATTCCACTTGAGTATTATCCCACATCTGCCTGTCACTCCTTATGGTAAACTGAAAAGCTGCACCTGGCAAGCCACCAGCTCCACTTGCTTTAAGGACCACAGTGAGTCATGGGGACCCTAATGCTGTGTTTTATTACCTTCCAGTAACAAAGGGAGAAATTCGGGAGGACTGAGCCTGCAGAACTTTAGCATTTTCTTAACTACGGCATAAATGAAAGCTCCGTCTCATTGCACACCCGCTGGTGATCCTCGGTACTCACTTGTGGACTCCAGGCGTTTGACATCCCTTGACGTTTCTAAGAAGTATCGCCGAAGAATGAAGAAAATGATAGCAAGGGGAATCATGGGTATTGCCATCCAAGGAATCACTGCCACGGCCACGGCCACCACACCGATGACAAGCAGCAATGTCTGGAAGGGCAGAAACAGAGACGAGCTTCTTATCCAGAATCCTTTCCAAAACAGACCTTACTGTGTTGTTTTGTTAGGACTCCACTCCTTGTTTTGCCTTCCGGAGAAATAACAAAGACGTTGGTGGCACTGAGGCTATGTATCACATGCCTGCTGTGGGCAAAACACCAGGAAGAGAATGTTTTCGTGCACTTAATACAAAATGTTTAATACATTTTGATACTTTCATTAGCCACAGGAGGCAGGCATCGCTATTCCTTCTCTATTTGGTAGACCAGAAAGCAGAGACTTAGCAGAAGACTGGATCCCAAACTATCTTGAATCAGATGTTACTAGGGAAACAAGCAAGCAGGTATTAAGACTAGGAATCCAGGAATCTCAGCTACGCAGGGATAAAGAAGTGGCTTACTGCAAATTCAATGCTCAGAAAAGAAGTAAATGAATTTGGATCTTCCCCTTTGGAAGTGGGGAGTCCTCTCTCTGGGTTTTCTACCTACAGTTAGTATCACCGAACGCTGACCGTGCACGTGGCCGTATGTTAGGCACGCCACGTGTATAGACGCATTCAAACCTCAGGACACACTTACAAAGTAGCATCCTCATGTTATTTTACAGGAAAAGACACTGGGACACAGGGAGGGAAGAGCAGCTTGATCAAACTTACACACCATTACTCATGGAACTGGGAAGCTCCTGTTAGTAGACATTATGCCTCCCCGCAGGATATAGACACCTTTTCATTGTTCATGAAAAATAATTTTGCTTACCAGGCCTCATAATCTCTCTTTAACTTTTCTCCTACATATTCTAACCTGAGGGATATCAGAGTTTGTCAACAGACCCAATAAAGGATAACCAACAGAGAAGAGTTTAAAATTTTTTAGAAATCTGAGTAAAAGTTTCGAAAACCAGTAAGCAACCTCCAATGTCTATAAGATTTTTTGTTGTTATTTGGAATCCTATCTTCTAGATAAGCATTACATTTTCCATTAGAATAAGATTTGAATGTCTGCTTGCAAGGCAAATGCAGAGAACATGGCTGATGCCATTAACCAGGCATTTACCATAAGAATGGCCCTGTGAGAGCAGTTAGTTCTATGACCATTCATTCAATCATCACCTCTCCTGACAAGGGACTTCATTTTGGGAAACTCTGACAGTCTAAAAAGACAGCAAGAAGAATAGAAACTTGAGTCACTGGATGCTGCTGGCTTAGGATCCATCCTTATGAGGCAAAGTGTGAAATCATGTTCTGTGGCCTCAGGTGCTATGACTCAGTGCGACACTCGAGTCCTCCAGCTAAGGAGGAGCAACACTGACTCTGGAGAGGGCCCAAAGTCAGGGCCATGTGCTTCATTTGGCCTAGTCCAAAACCTGTGAGGTTTGCGACCTTACACAGAAGCACCTGACCTCAGCAGAATCACTTAGCACTGTGGAAATATAGGTTTGGGGCCTTCCTCACCACGGCTTGTAAAAGGGATGTCGCATGTGTACCCTATCCTAAGAACGGACAGTGAGCAGCTGTTCCCAACAAACCATACTTAACACAAATGAACTGCTAATAAGGTATGCAGACGCAATAAAGGAAAACATGAAGCTTATAAAAATGTTAATTGTTTTTTTTAAAAAACTGTCCCCCAAATCAGAAAAATAAGACATCGCTATATTGCTTGTGCATACAGTAAATGTCCCTGTTACAGTGAAGAAATGTTCTATTATCTAGCTGACAACTACGTACAACTGTCCTGCTTTCTGACATGCCGAAAACAAACCGCATTTCACAAGGTCTGCCTGTGCCCAACCCCTAAGCACTTCCCATGCATTAGCTGACTTCATTTTCACAGAAAAATCTACGTAGTGAGGACCACCATCCCCCTTTACAAAGGAGCAAACTGAGGCTCAGAAAGTTAAATGACTGTCCAAAATCAGATCCCTCAGAGGCATTTTGATCCCAAGTCTGTTCTCTTAATCTCTCCGTGACAGTGTATCCCATATACATACGAGATTTGAAAAAAAACATAATACCTAATATACCACTTTATATATCGCATTTCCCCCTTTCTTTGCATTTGGTACTTTGTTGGATTTCTTGCTGTACTGACCTCTCCCATGGGGTGACCACTCCTTGATTCCCAGCTACTCAGGGAATAACAAGCTGCTCAGCTCAAAAAAGCAGAGGGGGCATGAAAAAGTCCTAACAATTCCTCTAATAGAACACACTGATACATGCTGATTAAAGAAATATTGTTCCAAGTTTTTTTAAAAAAATAATGTTTCATAAGAAAGATGAGTTTTAGGGGGCTGGGGATTTAGCTCAGTGGCAAAGCGCCTGCCTGGCAAGCGCAAGGTCGTGAGTTCGGTTCCCGGTACCAGAGAAAAACCAAAAACCAAAAAAAAATAAAAATAAAAATAAAAGAAAGATGAGTTTTAAGTCCAAAAGAAAAACAACTTAGGGAGGGAAAAAAAGAACCAAATTTAATTTTAACAAATACATAAACCCCAGGATACAAAATAGAGAACTGAGTATTTGCACATTTTATATCTGTATTTGAGTGGTGCTGAGAACACAGATTTCCCCAGAAAGACTCTTCTAGAACTAGTATTTTATGCTAATATCACGAACTTGAGTAGTCTTTTCACAAACACAATTTTAAAATGCATTTGGCATTTACCTATCAAACTGCTTGTAGTTCTATAGGAATTTCTAGGTTTCTACCTACAGTGTATTTTAAATTTAATTCCAAGGGGTTCTGCTCCTGCTCGTCCGGGTGAGGCTTGTGCCAAAGGACATGTTTCCCATAAACAGCAGTAAAAATGCAGTCTCATTTGATGCAAAGAGCACGCCGTAGTTTCTCTCTCACTCTGTTCCTTACCTGACCTCTGCCTCACACTTCCATTAGGCAGAAGTGAAAATCCGTATTTACTCGTAAAGACACTCACTCAGCACACAGTAATTTATTATTTGCTTCCAGTATTAAAAAATAAAATCAGGATCATCAAGATTGCTAACAACTAGGTAGAACTGGAACGCTTTCAATGCTGCTGTCAGTCAGACTCTAGAATTCTGCTGCCATTTGTGATAAGTGCAACTTATCCAGATTGCCTTCAACTATTACTGATTTTGCAGAAGATAGGACATAGGTGCAACAGACAAAGCAGGGTTCACTGTTGGCAAGAAGGCCAGGCCAGATTTTCCTCTGATTTAGAAAGAAAAAAAAAAAACTCTGATGCGTAGTTTGTTTTTTATCAGTACGCTCTTTACTCATGTGAGTACAGAAGCGATTCTTCTATTTATTCTGGAAATATATGAGATAAAAAATTACCTCTGAAATAACTATTGTAACAGACTGTGTTGCTGCTAATCTGTAATTCTTATGGAGGCACTAAAATTCTGAACAGGCTATCGAAACCAGTATTAAGAAGTAAGACTGTCATTCCTATCAAACCATACTCACTACCCTTCAATTACAGGGCAAGTCCAAGCAAAGGGGAAAATACAGAAGGCCTTAAATGCAAGCTCATAAGCCTTCGTGCTGCCTCAGTGTCACCATTAAATCAGCAGGTGCAAGCTAAGTGCTCGTATGTCACCCTGCACACCTCAGGAGTTCAAAGGTCAACTCTGGCTCCCAGGTCTGTTTTGGTATAGACCCGCCTTGGGAGGTCTCTCCTTTCCCACCTGTTTCTTCTGACCTCACCCAACTCAATTACCTTTGCTAAATCAGAACTTTGTAGAACGTTGTCATCCTTCTTTGTACAAGGACAGCTACATAAATGTTCTCTAAGACTGAGAAGGGTTTCTAAACCTGGACGCAGTAGTAACCAGTCCTTTTATCCCTCGTTTGGCTGGTTCTCCCATCCACAGCAGCTCCGGGAGCTGGGTCATCCTTGAGTTAGCTCTGTGTCTTGAGTCACAGCTAATTGCCCTGCAGAGTGAATGGCTTGTGCGCTGTAGGCTGTTTGTCAGCATCGTAGCAGGCATTTGGGAAACGTGGTGCCCTCTGCCTGCCTTTGTATTCAGCAGGTCTCACGGATGGATAGATCCCATTCTAGTTTTTTTTAATTTTAGTATTAATGCGTATTGCAAAATTCAAGTCAGAAGCCTGTCGCTATATTTAACATCACACCTTAAAAATAAAGGTAGGAAAAGTGAAAACATTAATCGAAAGAAAGGTGAATAGCCGGTACTCTCTCTGTAAACACAGAAGCTTTAATTCAGGAAGGATGCCTAAAAGAAAACACTTCACAAGAAAAAAAGGTCAGATCACCTGGAAGATATAAACAAATCCATTTATATGAACCCAAAAGCGTAACTCCAAAATGAATAAAGCAAAGCCCTAATAAACCTAGGAGAAACAAACTCAGTCACAGTGAGAAAATCTGACCTACTTAATAACTTAATAACCCAGATAAAAATCAAGGGTTACAGAAGATTTGAGAAAAATGATTAACAAGCTTGACTTAATCATGACTGAATGGCTGTAATACCATAGCCAACAACTACATTCTTTTCAAGTGAACATCTACCCTGCCATAAAGCAGTATCAACAAACTTTAATAGAAATTGTGCAAAATATATCTGACCAAGTGGCTTTAAAAAGAAACCAATAACAAAGTAGCTAGAAAATAACTACAAATTTAGAAATTCAGCAATACATTTCTAAACACCTGGTTCAAACAGATTAATAGGAAATGTTTTTAAAAGGAAACTAAAAATCTAATAATATGAAAATTTGAAGGTTCCAACTAATGCTGTGTTTAGAGATGAATTTATAGCTTTAAATACTTTCTTAAAAAAAGGTTAACCACAAGTCTCTAGAAAAACTACTGGAAGAAAAGGGAAAAAAGAATAGCATATTACACTAAAGAACAAGAAGAATGGAAATAGAAAACAGCAGATATTAATGAAATAGAAGAATAATTTCAAAGGAGAAAATCAGCACACTCAAAAGTGTGTTCTTTGAAAATACTAACAGAATGAATTCCTACACTGAGACTGACCA